CTTAGACTTTTACGACAGTCAGCATTTTCCAAAAAAAAAAAAAAAACCTCCCGCAGACGCATCGCCACGTCATTATCAATCATTGATTTTTTTGCTGCCACGATCCAGGTGAGAGAATCGCTGCCGGCGATCAAGAGGCAGTAAAACGATGTCGAAGACCTCAACGCAGTCCATTTGTTGTAAGGCAAAGAAACACGAGCGACGAAGGGGAAGGATCCAGACAGAGACGAAGACTCACTTATATATGTATAGCGTCGAGTGTACTACAGATGCATGGGAAGATGACGTGCTGCTGCTGTTGGCCATGACATGATCGATATCAACGAACCTTTTGCACATGTGCAGAATCCAGCCTCAACGACACTAAACAAGAAAAGTGCAATCAACCATGTGCGAATCACATCCATGCTTTCTGACGCATCATGTCAATTTTCTTGCTGTTGAGAAAAAGGAACGACAAAAAAAAAACAATGGGAAAACCAAAAGCGCCGCCCAGCCATCTCTCAACAACGCCTTTTGAAAGAGAGAGAGAGACGTACTTCACATATATACCGATCCGAACTCACTCCTTTTCCTCACCACCACCACCACCTCCTCCATCCATCCCCATCCCCCCAGGATTTTCGCCCCCACCCAATAACAAAAAAGACCTACGCGCCCCAACCCCCCCACAGAACCCACCCCACCGTCGCCCCAGCAACCACCGCGCTCCTCCCCACCAGCCCCCCCATCCCCATCACCAAACTCGCCCCCCCATTGACGTAATACACCGCGCCGAGATAGCTGCACGTGACGGACCCGTCCTCGTTGCCGTTGCGGTTCCCGTAGCTGCGCTCGAGCCCCCTGCCGCGGACGGGGCACGCGAACTCGAAGCTGGCGGGGCAGCTCTGGATGAGGGAGTAGCACAGGTCCTCGCAGGGGAGGACCTCCTTGTAAGGGCCGGGCTGGACCTTTTCGTCGATGATGGGGTTGCGCGAGCTGTTGGCGTAGAGGCGGTCGCGGAGGGTGGCGTTGCTGAGGGGGTTGGCGCCGTCGTTGTCGCGGCCGAACTGCGTGTCGGCGAGGGCGGTGCCGTTGGCGAAGGGCTGCGCGATGTTGCGGGGTTGCAGCCAGGCGTCGGTGGCGGAGAAGTCTTCGCAGCGGGGGATGGTGACGGCGCAGAGCCAGTTCTTGTAGTCGTGGGCGCAGTCGTCGCACGTCTTGGCGAGGGAGTATTGCGCCGTGTTGGTCGTGTTGCACGGGATCTGCTGGAGCGAGTAGTTGAAGTTTTGGTAGTGGTTCGCCGCGTACGAGTCGTACAGGTCCACCAGCGTCGTCAGGTTGTACCGGTTCGGGTTCGAGGGGACGGCGTATGCGACCTCGTCGCAGAAGGTGAGGTTGAAGATGACTTGGCAGTTGCCGTCTGGAATAAACGCACGAGTCAACAATGTCATTCTCTCTTTCTCTCACTCTCTCTGCGAGCTGGGTTTTTGGAACTTACCGGCCTTCGTCGTGAAGTTTACTGGTGCCCAGACCTGCCCACCGCCACCGACGACACCCGATCCGGCAGCCGTCGAATTGCCGTACATGACCGGGAAAGCAAAATACGGCGTGCTCCCGTTCAGACCCTGGACGTAGAACTGCTCCTTCGGCTTGTTTCCCAAGCCCCTGGTCGTCATGCCGCTGATCTGGCTCGACGGTTCCTCGTTCCACGCGTTCAACAACCCGCAGTAGGACCTTTCCATGCCCTTGATGGCCGTCATGTTGCTGCTGTACGCGAACAGCTGGAAAGGATTACCCGCCCGCATCCAACGTTCGTAGTCGTCCTCGCCTGGGTCTGATGACGTAAGGTTGTCCGTGACGAACAGTGCCGAGTTTGTATCCGTATCGACGAGGTACACGAACGAGTTGGCAGACTTGGGTTCGTTGTATTGATGGAAGGACTGGTCGATAGAGGCCGCAACCTGGAATTGCCAGTCCCCAGTAAAGCCGTCGGGTAGAGGCGACGGGGCAGACACGCCAATGTACACGTTCGAAGTCGCGTTGATCGTAGCGCTCGCGAAGCCGCCGCTCAGCGTGTGCGTGCTCTGCAGAGTGCTCTCCGCGCTCGGCCCGGGCGACTTGTTCTTGTCCGAAGTCGAGATGTACAGCGTCAGCTGCGGCGGAGCTTCCTGCGTCGTCGTCCCATTGATGTCCGGCTGATTACACGTATTCATCGACACGTACACCTGCCTCGTCGCCGCCGCCCTCTTCCTCAGCACAACCTTCCCATCCACGTCCACGTCCACGTCCTCGTCCCCCTCCTCCTCCTCCTCCTCCTCCTCCTCCACCTCCACCCCCACCCCCCTCCTCTTCAGCTCCCTATCCATACTCTCCCTCGACAACAGCTTCCTCCCATCCATCTCCGGCAACCCAGGCGTCTCAGCCGAAAAATTGCCCCAAACAGACGAGTTCTCAAACCGAAAATAAAGCGTCTTCCCCGCCAGGATCGAGCTCGTGCCCACCTCGTTATTCGTCAGCGTCACGAACGACGACGACGACGACGACGACGCCTGCCTCCCGATGATATCCCGTATCACGCCCACAAACGCGGGTTCGTACTGCGACACCTGCTGCTGCTGCCGCCGCCGCTCCTCCTCCTCCTCCTCGTCCTCGTCCTCCCCATCCGCTCCCGCTCCCGCCCTCGCGTCGTCCAGCTCCAGCTCCACGCCCACAAACCCCATCACGTCCTCCTGCGCTAACCGCATGTGATTGTGATCCGCCTCCTCGCCCGGCGCCGCCGCCGCCGACGGCGGCGACACCTCCGCCGCGTATGCGACGAAGCTCGACGACGAGAACGACGACGCCGGGGAGCCGAGCGAGGCGAGGCATGTGAGCGCGGCGAAACCGGCGGCGGCGAACGCTGCTGCCGCCGTCATCCGTGACCGCGACCGCGATGGTCGCGACCGCGGCGGGGGCGGGGGCGCAAGGTCGAGGCGCGCCATCGAGGTTTCCTCTATCCTTTGTTTTTTTTCCCCCTCAATCCCTGATCCCTCCGTTGGACCACCAACCAACCGGAATGCTGGGCAGAAAAAATCCCCCCCTCCTCTCTCTCTCTCTGGTCCGAGTTACGCGTGGGACGAGAAGTTGGGGCGCGACGCGGCGGCGAGTATTTTTTGGGGGAGAAGGGCGCTTTTGGCAGGCGCCGGGCGGTTCGTGAGGCGGGGATGTTTTGAGGCGTGAGGACGTTTTGAGGCGTGAGGACGTTTACGGTGCGTTGGTAGGTAGGTAGGTAGGTAGGTAGGTTGGCTGGTGAGTGGGTATGTACGGCGGCGGACGGGAAGGGTTGGGTCGTTCGTTCGTTCGTTTGCTTGCTTGCTTGCTTTGCCGCGCAAGCAGGAAAGGTAGGTAGGTAGAAGCTATGTAATTGCTCCCCGCGGGGGATGGGGCGAATTGGCCGTGCGGCGGCGGCGGCGGCGGCGGCGGCGGCGTTATGTAGATCGGAGAGCGTTGGGCGTCGTCGACCGGCTGGGTCAGTATTGCGCCGCGGGGAATGCGGTGTTTCCTCGACGCCTGTTCGTTTTGCGGTTGTGTGTGTGTGTACGGCGTCCCTCTGGACGATGATTGTGTGTGAGTGAGTGAGAGAGGGGTGAGCGTTGCAGATGTGCGGGATGCGCGACGCGTGGGGTGTGCACGTCAACCACGGGGGTTCCGTCGGCAGCGCGGTTTTTTCTGGGACGGACGGCGGTCGGAGAGCGAGCGAGCGAGCGAGCGAGTGCAATCGAGAGGATAAGATCCCGCGCCAAAACAGACAAGAGGGAGCAAAAAAACAAAACAAAAAATAACGAGAGGTGGAAACGTCCGTAGAAACGACAGCAACCGCAATTCGTCGTTAAGTGGTGGTAGAGCAGAGAAGAAGGAGCTAGAAAAGAACTAAGGCATGTAAGACGACGTAGCAGCAGCACGAGTCTGTATGCAGCAACAAGGGTGCCTGTCACGACACGACACGAGACACGAACGCCCACAACGTGCAACGCAAAGCCAAATAATAACTACTACACGATGGTCTCCGTCTACCCTTCCGCTTTTCCCGCCCAGCACGCACGCTCAGCACCCTCCCTCCCTCCCTTCCATTCCTCTCGTCAGATCCCGCCCGTTCCATCGTGCATGCGCGTCCCTTTTCCGGCTCTTCGGCATCGATATGTTTCAGCAGCCGAATGCCACCACTTCCACGTGCGAAGCGGGAGAGGAAAAAAAGGAAGCTCCCGTAACTCTAATTGCTTTGTTAGCAACAATTCCCCGTACTCTTCGAAAGACATATATTCCAAACTCGTTCCGCCTCGGCTTGCGAAGCATTGACAAGGTCCATAGATTCGATCGAAAAAGACAGCAGTCAGATATGGACTAAAATCCCGCATTCATATATACCTTCGTGCTCCAGACATACTCATTGCCGCCCCCTCTTTCTCCCCAGATCCTTTGTCAGCCGCTCAAAACATGACATGCCTTCGATCTCGTCTCACCCCACCTCGCCTCTATGCCACAAAGTTGTACAAAATGGCCTCCCTATATGTTCACCAAAAGAAAAGAACGTGCAAATGCTCTGCTCCGCACCGCCGACGTCTCGGAAAGGCAACATCCAATGCGGTCCCATGAAATATCTCCCATCTCCACCACATCTGAAACGTTGACAGGACACGGATTTCTACAGCTTCGCCTTCGGAGGCTCCGCCAGCGCCTCCTCGTAGCACGCGTCGATGAGATCGCGGTACTTCTTCGCCGTCTGCGGACGCTTGAGCTTGAGACTGTCCCACACCCCCCAATCATCGTTAGCGCGACTCTCGTCTATCATCATGACCGGGGAAAAAAAAAATATCAACTTACGTCGGCGTCAAGAGCTCGTTCTCAATCGTGAACGGATCGACCAACAGCCGGATCGCCTTGACCTTCTCGTAGCTGTTGAACTTTGCCTTGCGGCCCGCCCTGTCCAGCTCCTTCAGCGCCGCCGCGCGCACCTTCGGGCTGTCCGCCGCCTCGGCGAGCGCCGCCGCGTCCGTGTCCGCGATGGCCTTGCCGAGGACCTTGCCCGCGAAGTTGGCGAACTGGTCGGGCTGGATGCCGAACAGGCCCACCAGGCACGCCTGCGTCGAGTCGCCGTGCACGTACGCCGTGCCCAGCCAGTTGCAGTTGGCCAGGTACACGTTCTCGATGCGCTCCGGCGAAATGTACTCGCCCTGCGCCAGCTTGAGCACGTTCTTGCGGCGGTCGATGATCCGGAGCCGGCCCAGCTCGTCGATCTCGCCAATGTCGCCCGTGTGGAACCAGCCGTCCGCGTCCACGCTCTTGGCCGTCTCCTCCGGGTTGCGGAAGTACTCCCGGAAACGCGTGGGGCCGCGCAGCAGGACCTCGCCGCGCGGCCTGGGCTTGTCCGTCGCGAGGTATTCCATGTCCGGGACGGACTCCAGGCAGAATTCGGTGGACGGGGTGGCGGCGCCGCAGTTGCCCGAGGAGTGGTCGCCGGCCAACTGCGCAACGGACGCGGCATACGTCTCCGTCAGGCCGTAGCCCTGGACGAAATCGTTCGCGCAGACGACGCGGAGGAAGTTCTGCAGCGAAGGATCGATCGGAGCCGAGCCAGTGACCATGGTCTTTGTCCTGTCCAGCCCGAGTGCTGCTGCAGCCTTCTTCGACCAGATGCGGTCCCAGAAGAAGTGCTGGGTGGTGGGGTTAGGGCCTTCAAGCGCGGCCAACTTGGTGCTCACAACATGTCGCGATAGCGATCCCCTGACACCCGGCGCCTGCAGAGTTGCGGCCTTGACAGCACCGCCGAAGCGGTTGTACAGACGAGGAACTCCGCTGAAAACCGTCGGCCGCAGAAGCTTCAGGTCGTCGACAAGCTCCTGGATGTTTCCGTGGAAATAGCCGATTCCACAGCCTCCCCAGAGAGCAGCATGCTCACCAACACGCTCGAAGATGTGGGCAAGAGGCAGGAAAGAGCACATGACATCGTCGCCAGTCTGGTTAGTAATGGTCATGGATGAGCTGGTGGCGCCAATGGCGTTCCTGTGCGTCAACACAACACCCTTGGGGTTACCAGTGGTGCCCGAGGTGTAATTGATGGTGATAACGTCATCCGCAGTGGGAGGGTCGTAAGGACGGGGGTTCTGCTCTCCGATCGCCTCGACATCCCTCAAGTAGAGGATGCGAACTCCAAGGTCAGCCGCGATGGCGTTGAGAAGGTCGCCCTTGGACTCGCCCGGCCGTTCGCCCTCACTAAGGGGGTCCAAGCAGACGATGAGTTGCAACGAGGGCATGCGGGGCTTGAGCTTCAAGAGAGCGGCGACGTGGTTGAGCGAAGTCGCGACGCACTTCAGCTCCGCGTGGTTTATGATGTACTCGGTGGTATCCGGGCCCAGAGTATCGTAGATGGAGACGGTGAACATTCCCTGCGACATGGCTCCCAGATCTGGATCCCACCATCAGCTGCGCCGGCATCCTACTCTCCCCTGGAAGCGATCACGTACCGGTTATCTGCCATTCCGGCCTGTTCTGGCACCACAGGCCAATACCAAGCCCGCGCACCGGCGACACGCCAGCTTCCTCGAAGACCTTGACCAGACCAGCACCGAAGTTCTTCCTCCTCGTCTGAACCGTCGCGTAGTCCTCCCACACGTATGCCCCGTACGTTTTCGTCACAGGGTCGTAGGGGCGGTAGCCAAGGCAGCGGCTCCCGGGATTGTTGCGCGCTACGGAGGCGTCAGTCCACCTCTCAGCCGGCTCTCTCTCCGTCCCCAAAAAAGCTTACCGGACTGCTCGAACGCATCGTGTAGCGTTTGGACCTAAGGAAAAGCAAAGAAAGAGTCAGCGCCTGGTCGCTCGCTCCTCATCAGGTCGACTGACCGTCTCGTCCAGCGTCTCCAGCGGGCGGTCGGCAAAGCGCCAATGCCTGTAGGTGGCGGTCCTGTTCTCGGTGGCGGTGCCGGGGACGGGCACGCTGTGGGGCTTGCCGTTCGGCGGGATGCCTCCGATATCAGCGGCGCGCTGCACCGCGAGCAACTTGGGAGCCATGGCGGTAGAATCGGGCGGTTGACGAGATGTCGACGAGCAAGCGCGAGAAATCTAACGGCTGGGGGACGAAGCTGGCATCAGGCGGCTGGTCAGCAGTCGGGTCGGCGATGCCGGGGAGGGGCTGAAGAGGGAAACCCACGCGTCGTGGCTTGAAGGCGGAGCAGTGCGGAGCCAAGAAAATGAAAGCGGAACGGTGATGTCAGGCGGGCGGCAGCACTCAAGGACGAGAGGTGTGGTCTATGCCTCTATGTCTAAAAAATCCCAAGGAAACGCGGGAAGGAGAGGCTGTCACACGCAGCTCAGGTCCGAGGAGAGAAGAAGGGGCGGGCTCCGGAGGTGGGCAAGAGCTGGAGGTGCGGCGGAGGGCGGTTGATACAGCGCATCGTCCAGCGGCCGACTGGCCGTAGGAGCCTCGGCATCTGCCCAGCTTGGGGCGACCGACGCACCGCAGCGAATCGGCCGTAGCGCACGGGCCCCAGCTATCATTCTGCCTTTAAGGAGCCCGCCATCTCCGGCACGCAACTCACCCCCCAGAACAGCATTGTCTGCGTGCTGCTAACGGCCGGACTCCCCGCTCACGCGCCCACCGCCTCGCGGCAGGGGGGTCGACCGACCCGCTGACCGAAAAACCCCCCAGCTCCTCGTCCACAGAGAGCACGGCGCCCGCTGACCTCCTTCCTCCCCCCCGGCTGCGCGCTAGCCACCGGCAGGAATTCCGGGGTAACTCAAGCCACATGCACGCCATTCAGATCGCCTTGCATCACCCTGCTGCCCACCGCACGTGACGTCTTCACATGCAAAATGGAAATATGTCCGCTCTCCCCTTGGTCCTTGGCGTTGACACATGTTGGCTTTCTTTTTTTTTCTCTTTCTTTGCAGCCACGCGGGGAAGAAGTCGCTTTTGAGGACCGAGCAAGAGGGCTTTTCCCCGCACTTCTAATCGTGTCAATCCGTATCCTGGTGGAGTGATACAGACTTGCCGCTTCTGGTAATTTGATCTCGGAAACTTGCAAATCGCAGACGTGCGTTTCCTGCACCGATTACGTCTCTGCCACACGACCAGCCGTGCCACAAAAAAGAAGGTTCTTCGATGCCTTATATGTATCGCTGTTACTGCCGTCCTTAGTTACGGGCGTTGAATATGGGTATCACTTGCTTTTCTGAAGTTCACTGCTCGCCTGGAAAACATGAGTGGATGAAGACAGGCGAGTAGAGCGATGGTGAGGCGGAATAGAAGCGAAGGTTTGCTCAGGGGCTTGAGGGGAGGTGTCACGGAGGAGACGTTAGGGAAGGAGGTGGGGAGATGGTCTAATTGGATGAAAAGCGGCGAATAGTTGAGAGCGAATATGAGACGAGACCAAAGTTGTAAGGTTCTGCCTTCTCGTAGGGTCAAATGGGCTGTAAAAAGTCCAAGCCGCTTAAGAGGCGCTTCACAAATCCAAGTTTGATAGCTAGGAGGGACCCAGAGTAAGGTCATTTAAAATGCAAAAATTCGAACTCAAGACGAACGTTCCCAAGTTGATCCAACGTATCAGACCTGTCTGGAGAACGAACAAATCTCCAATGTATTACTCCAGTCTCGGATTAAACGTGGAGACTGTAGACACAATAGCAAATCACACAAATGAAACCAAGCGCGGCGTCAAGCCCATGGCAACTCGAACTTCGGATAGAATATAATTGCATTTACAAACCCGCTCAACAAAAATTATTCAAAGGGAATCATAAAACACACGGGAATATCGCTCTCTCACTCACTCACACACACTCTCTCTCTCCAAGCCTCTCTAAACCATCTTGTTTTCTCTAGGTGGAACCGCTCAGCTTAGCGTCAACAGCAACGCTGCCCGTCTTGGCAGCGTTCGCCGCATCGCCAGAAGCCTCCGGCTTGGTCGCGGACTGTGCGAAAGACTGCTCGAAGTCGGCAATGATGTCGTCGATATGCTCGGTTCCGACAGAGATACGGATGAGATCCTGCAAGCGGGGAGATGATTAGAAACTTGTTTGACCCTCTTGATCCGCTCCTTTCGAATCGGTGCCGTGGGAACATACTTCAGTGACGCCACTGCTGATCTTCTCTTCATCGCTAAGTTGCTCATGAGTGGTGCTCCAGGGGTGAATGGCCAAAGACTTGGAGTCACCGACACTGTTTCGATACGCGATCAGTAACCTCGCTCGAGCGATTGCTAGTTCATCAGCAGTGACTTACTTGGCGAGGTTGGAGATAAGCTTCAAATTGTCAACGACCTGGCTACCCGCCTCGGCGTCACCCTTGACACCAAAAGACAAGACACCGCCGAAGCCCCTGGGGAGGTATTTCTTGGCGAGCTGGTGGCTGGGATGGTTCTCGAGACCAGGGTACGAGACCCACGAGACATTGGGGTTCTGCTCGAGCCACCTGGCGAGCTTGATCGCGTTCTCGGCGTGCCTCTCGCAACGCAGAGAGAGCGTCTCAAGACCGAGCAGGAGCTGCTGGGCAGCGAAGGGGTTCAGCGCCGGGCCGAGGTCTCGGAGGATCTCGACGCGGACACGGATGGCGAAAGTGATGGGGCCGAACGTCTCCCAGAACTTCAGGCCGTGGTAGCCGGGCGAAGGCTCGACCATGGTGGGGAAGCGCTTCGCGTTCTTGCCCCAGTCGAACTTGCCGCTGTCGATAACGACACCGCCGATGGTGGTACCGTGACCACCAATCCACTTGGTTGCCGAGTGCACGACAATGTCAGCGCCATGGTCAATGGGGCGACAGAAGAAACCGCCGGCACCGAAGGTGTTGTCAACCTGAACAATATCCAACCCTGTTAGCTCTTGTTCCGGCTTCAATGGAATTACGAACCCACGTACAACAACAGGCACACCGGCATCGTGCGCAATTTTGCAGATTGCCTCATAGTCTGGCACATTGTACTTGGGGTTGCCAATGCTCTCAAGGTAAATAGCCTTGGTCTTGTCATCGATCAAGGCCTTGAAGTCCTCAGGCTTGTCGCCATTGACGAATTTGGTGTTGATGCCTAGGCGCCGGAAGGCAACCTTGAACTGGTTGTAAGTACCGCCGTACAGGTTCGAGGTCGAGATGATGTTGTCGCCAGCTTCGGCAAGGGCGGCGATGGCCAGAAACTGAGCAGCCTGACCGGACGCGGCTGCGACGGCCGCAACGCCGTTCTCGAGGGCTGCCATACGCTTCTCGAAGACATCGACGGTGGGCTAGACATGACGCAGTCTCCTCTCAGCTTATGCGCTCGCCAAAAATCCTGGGGCCCAATTGCTTACATTCATGATGCGGCTGTAGATGTTGCCGAACTCCTTGAGGCCGAACAGCCTCGCACCGTGCGCGGAGTCATTGAAGACGTATGACTGCGAATTTCAGTTTCTAAAGCCGGAGATACGATCAAGAGCTGTGAAAACGCACAGTAGTGGCGTAGATGGGCGTCGCGCGAGACCTAGTCGCCGGGTCAGGCTCCTGGCTGTGAGCACTTGGTCAGCGCAGTCATAACAGCTCATCGCGCCGGATAGCACCTACCCAGCGTGAAGCTGGAGGGTCTCGAATCTCTGAGGAGTCTCGTCGCTCATTTTGTCTTGCTGCGGAGTAACTCGCGAAGCTCAAGCCCAAGGTCTGGTCGTATGGTATAACGATCCGAAAATTCACAGTCACGGTGCTGGAGAGGAGGAGGGGTGAAGAACACAAGTAAGAGAGAGCGGGCAGCAGCCGTGAGATTTGAGCAGTTCCGAGATCGGTCGCTGGGATGAAGGTCTCTGCGGGGACCCTGGATGGCGTGCTTGACGCCATCTGCGAACGCGTGAGATGCAGCAGACGCCCCGCCGTTAATTCGCGCCTTCTCTTGTCCACAGCAACGCCCATTCCCTGCTCGGCGTGGCCGAGAGGATCTCAACCACAAGGAGCCACCGCCACGCCTTTTGCGCAAGACAGTCAATATATGAGCTTCTCGATCGGCAGCCGCGGGATGTGAGCGTCGCGGGGAATCCGTCAGTGCGCTGCGGGGTAGGTGTTTCTTTATCGATAGCCGCGAGAGCCTTCCCCGCCGACCACGCAGCTGGCGCCAGGAACAATCTGGCTACCCACTTCTGTGAGGTCATGTTGCTTATGCTTGGCTCCGTCTCCTGGCCTCCGGGACTGGTGTTGTCCAGTTGGTCCCCTTGGCCCCACGTTTCTGGATTGAGGGGTGCGTGCGGGTGCTGCTCCAGCGCGATGCATGAGATCTTCGAGGCTAATCGACCAATGACAAGCTCGCTGAACTTAAGCAGGAGTCCACGTGCATTGACACCGCTCCGAGTCAGGTTGGAGCGTTGGAGCCCTGCTGTTCTTCCGAGGGAGCCATCCATGCCATAGCGAGCGTGGGGTAATAAGAGAGTTAGCACGCAGGGGACGATAAAAAAATTATCTAGACTTGAGACCCAAACGCTTGTGGCAACCGCATCCGGTCATGGCTTTAAACTCATGCTATATCTCGCTTCCATTCGCATCTTGTGCCGTGGCACCCGAAGAGACAACAGCCCGTGATGTCGAACCACTAGCGAGTCGATTTCGTCCGAGCTCCGCAGTCTAACTCAAGCTCCCTGTTCGGCACTGAGGCCTGTCTCACTCCGTAACTGATTTTCCTGATAATCCTAGCGCCTTGTTGGTCATTATTTTTAGATTCCAGCCCCATCCTCTCAAGCTCATGCCCCGCCTACATTCCTATCCATAACGCCGTGTAAGATGCAGCAAACACAATTTCCGAGACCAGGCAAAATCGGTCTTTCACGACTTTGACTTCGGGATTGCGAACAGGCTGGGCTTCATGTTAATCTTACACAGCCGTGCAACGCATCCAGACAACTGCAGGAAGGTTTGCACGCCTTCGAGGATGCGCATGTGTGTGAAGCCGATTTCCTTGATGAACTCAAGCTTGGCGTGCTCAGACAGGCTAGGAATCGTTTTGGTGACCTTGAACATGGTGCTGATGATGTCGTGGCAAGAATATCCGAGCTCCCTATGACCAGTGTCAGTGATGCTGCCATGCCCAAGTAAACATGGAACCCACCAGAGCTCGCGGAGGCTGTCGAGAGCGACATCGACGTTCTGCTCATGGCAAGCCTTGATCATTGCTTGGACCTTGATGGGATGCGGGCTGTCAACCACTTTGAAGACATTGTCACCGTTGACGAAGCCGAAGCCCGCATGCGTGCTCTGCAGGTTGTTGATTGCCTGACGCATGTCTCCCTCGGCCGAAAACACAAGAGCGGCAAGACCGTCTTCGGAATACTCGACCTTCTCCGCCTCGCAGATCTGCATCAGCCGCTTTACGAGTTGCGCGTCCGTCAACCGGGAATACCGCAAAATGGCGCAACGGGACTGAAGCGGCTCGATGATCTTGTTCGATTGGTTGCACGCGAAGGCGAACCGAGTCGTCGACGAGTATATTTCCATGGTTCGCCGTAAGGCTTGCTGAGCACCCGACGTCATACTAGTCACCGGTCAGCGTGGTCCAGGATGACGGTCTAGCACAGCCTACCTGTCTGCCTCATCCAGGATGACAATTTTCTGTCGGCCTGCGGGGAGCGTGACCTTCTTCTGCGCAAAACCCTTGATACGGTTTCTCACAACATCAATGCCTCGCTCATCGCTGGCGTTGAGCTCCAGGACAGCTTCTTTGTATGCATCTCCAAGCAGCTGGCGGGCCAGGCACAATATCGACGTGGTCTTTCCAATGCCAGGCATGCCCGAGATGATAACGTGCGGCATGTTTCCATCTTTGGCAATGATTTTGAGGCGCTCGATTGTCTCGGTGTTGCCTACGATGTCGTCTAAGATGAGCGGACGGTATTTCTCAACCCTAGAGCGCAACACCATCAGTGCGGGAAACGGCAGGGTGAGCCACAGAAACGGACCATGGCAGTTCGTAGCCGGCGGCGGTGCCGTTGGGTTGGGCCTTCAGGCCGTTGCGCGCGGCAGCGCTGGAAGACTCGGCGGTCACCATGGTGGCGAGCGATACCGTGGTGGTGGGTTGGCGCGATGCTGAGCTTGACGATTGCGTCGCGTGCTGTGGAGCAGTCGCGTCAACGCGTGTTCAACCGCGCCCGCGAAAAGCGAGGCCCGTGCACCAGGCTTCTCAGGGCTCGGGCCACGGACAGGGCTCAGGCAGGGTTCAGGCAGGGCTCAGTCCTTCGGTTTCGCCACAGGCCGAGCGCGAGATCTTCCGCCAGCCTCATTTAGCGCTCTCACACTCCCCGCACCACAGCACCCCTCTTGTCATGCAGGGCCCTGAGCACGATGGGGGGGCCTTGTCGCACTCCAGATCCACAGAGACGCCCTGATGCGCTCGCGCTGCTGCCGCCCTGTACCTGCGCCGAACTCTGCCAACAGTGGCAGACAGCTGACGGTCCGACGGAGACAGCCGCGTCTCCGGGCCACAGGCCGCAGCCTTACGCGTCACATCCGCCTTCAGCAAAGTCTCAGCCTATGGGCCCATGCGGTACGGCTCGGCGGCGGCAGCTGGCCAGCTGGCAGCACGCAATCCTGCTTGTGCGGCCTTAAGGGCAGCTTGGCTCGGTGCATGGCAAAACTCGGACTCAGCGGCTTCCGGCACATCGCGGCTGTCGCTGTCGCAAAAGCTGTGGGTTGGGGACGCGCGCCTCGCAACCTATCGTTTACCAACACGGCGCTTACATCCAGCGTCTCCGGCCCCCATCAGCCGCAATCCTTACCTGGTCAGCGTATAGTGCAATGATGCTCTGCACAGCCTGGCTGATTGCTTGGGCCAAGTAACGCTCAGCCGTCAGCAGTCGAAACGCAGTGGCCGTCTCAGTCCGCTGCTCAATGGCAATGCAGTATTTCTCAGGAACGCCCCGCGCAGTCTGCGCATCTGGTACTAGCCTTTTCTCTTCCCTTTCTCTTCATCTTCTTTTCCGCCGGTGGCGCGTGAGGTAAGCTTGGTCCGTCATTGCCGACCTCCGCCACACTACTTCTGGAGAGTCGTCGTCATCACCGTACGTCGTACGTACCTCTCCGCGGGGGCTCATAACAATCCCTGATCGCACAGCCGTCGCAGTTTTCTGCCGGCCCACTACCCGCGTGCTTCTCGCTTCTCCAAAAGTTATATCCTGGACGGCATCCTGCCTTGCTTGCATTCCTATTTTGTACATCTCGCCAACCTCCTTCACCCGGAACCATGAGGTGCACTGTCGCACTGACGCTCGCCACGGGCTTAATATCCTTAACCGACGGCCTCCAATTGGCCAAGAGAACAGTATGCCGCTACCTCCTTGCCACACCATCCATCCCCTAACCTTGACCTCAGGACTCGGCACCAAAGGTTTTCGGTGCTGAAATCCAAAGAAGACATGTCTCAAATCCCATTGAGCGCGACCAAGCGAGGAGGAGAAGAAAGAGAGACAGTCTGCAGGAGACTCTCGACAACCTGGAAACACTCTACTTCGCAAACGCCTCCCTAGGAACTCCTGCCCAATCACTCCGTCTCCATCTGGACACCGGCTCGAGCGACCTCTGGGTGAACACTGATGATTCCGATCTCTGCTCCTCTTCCCAGAACGACTGCTCGAGCTCTGGCACCTACAGCGCGAACGACTCGTCAACATACGAATATGTCAACAGCCTGTTCAACATTTCCTATGTGGACGGCTCTGGTGCATCCGGTGATTATGTCAAGGATACCTTCACCTTTGGCGGCCAAAATCTCACGGATATGCAATTTGGTATTGGCTACACGTCGACTTCGTCAGAAGGTGTCTTGGGAATTGGTTACACCAAGAACGAAGTCGCTGTCAATCGAGCCGGTCTCGCCGCTTATCCCAACTTGCCCCAGCTTTTGGTCAACAAGGGAATCATCCAATCCAATGCCTACAGTCTGTGGTTGAACGATCTGGATGCGAGTAAAGGAAACATCCTCTTTGGCGGCGTGGACACGGAAAAGTACCACGGCAGTCTATCGACCCTCCCCATCCTCCAGGAGGCCAGCCAGTACAGGGAGCTTATCATTGCGCTGACCGGCATCGGCTCCAACGGCAACACCGGAACGTACTTAAACAGTAACACCAGCAGTACCGATGCCGTCCCTGTGCTTCTCGATTCGGGCAGCAGTCTCACCTATCTGCCGGACGATGTCGTCACCAGCATTTACAACGATTTCGACGCCGTTTACGACGAGAATGAGGGTGCTGCCTTCATTGACTGCGATGCGGCTACCAGTTCCGACTCGCTGGAGTTCACCTTCAGCTCCCCCACGATCAGCGTCCCGATGAATGAGCTGGTCCTCTTGGCAGGCTATTCAAAGGGCCAAGCCGTCTGCATTCTTGGCATCAGCCCAGCCGGAGACTCCACTGCCGTGCTTGGTGACACCTTCCTGCGGTCCGCTTATGTCGTATATGACCTCGCCAACAACGAGATCTCCCTTGCTCAGACCAATTACAACGCCACTGACTCGAACATTGAGGAAATCACCACTGGCACCGCTTCCGTTCCGGACGCAACCGGCGTCGCCAATGCCGTGTCAGCCATTGTCGTTGCCACCGGAGGCGCAAGGAACGGCGGCCTGGACGTCTCTGACAACGCTGCCATGCCGATGAAGACGGCGATGCCGGTGGCTCCCATCGCCGCCGCGGCTGCCGCGGGTCTGCTCTTCGCGCTTTAGGCCGCCAAACTCCCGTGGGGCACGAGGATCTCAATGCACCACCTTGTATGGAGATGATCTCGACCCGCTTTCACATTTGCGTAACGACCGGTATGCGGCATCATGAGCGTTTCACATTTGACTGTTGCATCAGACACTGGGGTTTAGGAGTTTTATTACTTTATGATGGGGAGTTTCGCGTTTTCTAGACGATACCTTTAGCCCTTTTCCATCATCTTTTCTCTCGTTGGGGCGGGTTTGTTCTAGCAGGCCTTGGGGAGTATCTATTATATCACTTGCAGTTTATGTGGATAAACACAAGATTATGTTGAGCGTAGAGACATCATTGGGAAATGCAGATGATACCACATTCTCAAGAAAGAAAGCATCGTATGCGAATGCGGAGTGGGTACTTTCCTTTTTTAAAAATCATGGTCGATCCTCATACCTCCTTGGGTGCCTTAGCGTGAAGACATGCGTGTGGGTTGTGTATGGCGCCATTTTCGTCTTGCGTGCCGGCTGCCACAATGAAAATGTGGGAATGTGTAGCAGATGCGTATGAGATTAAGATTGTCGATGGCCAAACCCCAGACCCCGGTCTCCCCTCCCCTCGCCCCCCTCCACCTATAATGCGTGCTCTTATACGATCCTGTCGTATACCGATCTCGCCTTGATTCACCGCTTTGGCAGGTGGGCCGTCTTCCCCTCCTGAGCGAAGCAGCGACAGCCAAACGGGTGTGAGACCCCTGTCGGCACAAATGCCGGCGGTGTTGCCCCAAGGGAGGTTGATAGACTGTGTGCTGCAGGAGAAGCGGGGGGGAAATGATCCGGCGGCATGTGAATCGATCCCTCCACAGCACAGCTTTCGCCATTTTCTGCGACGATAACGCGAGATGCCTAGACAATTCGACGTTTCGGTATTTTGGAATTGCTCTGGCTAAGCGACACGGAGCCCTCTCTTGCAGCTACTACAGTCTTCTCGAAGTGCAACAAGCACTTCCTGGAAGAGCGCAGGACTTTCACGAAAATGGTGGCCCGACCACGATTATACTGTATCCGAAGGGAGATCATGCTCGATGGTTCATTGGTTCATCGAATTGGAGAACCCTCGGTGGGTATTTGGGGGGGTTGCAGCGCCGAACGTTTTTCATCTGATCAGATAAGATCCTTTCTGTCTAGCCCTGCTCCTCCCATTACTGCTTGCTCGTCAGACCACCATCATGTGCCTCCAGCTGCCCAGTACCTTCCCAGTTGTAAAATATCCACTTTGACGCCAATTGTGCCACCCTCGAGCGCGCATATTTGATATCGTCTTTGTAACGCCACTTCCCGCTCAAATGCATAACAAGGTATCGATATAGTTTTTTTTTTGTCGGTTTGGATAGCTGTTTCCTTCTTTTCTTTCATGCCTCGTTGAAGTCCTCCTGTTCGCTGCCGTCGCGCCTGCGGTGGAAGTGGTCAACTGGATGTCAATCGAGACAGGGTCGGTTCTGTAATAGCTTACGGGATGTACTTCACGCCTGCAGCCTCGCACGCGGCCAATTGTTCCTCACCAAGCTGCACACATCGTATCAGCACAGGATTCCTCACTACCGAATCTAGAAACGCGAGAGAGAGAGAGAGAGAGAGAGAGAGAGAGAGACTCACGATCCCCGAAACCTTGGTAGCGTACATGCCCGGCACGTACCCGTCGAGGCGCTGCCACTTGGCGACCCAGCTCGAGCCGGGGTCGGCCAGGGCGATGAGGCCCTCGAAGACGGCCGAGGTGCAGTCGGCGATGTGCGCCTCGTCGGCGCCGTGCATCTCGAGGAACTCGCAGTTGGGGCAGCCCTGCTGCCGGAACTTGGCCGCCGGCTGCACGTAGCTGCACACCATGCACGCGCGCAGGTGGCGGTGCTGCGAGGGGGTGACGTAGGAGCGCGACATTGTTGGTGTTTTCTTTTTGTTGGTTGGCGGTGGGCCGGGAGGTCAGGTAGGTAGGTGGAGCTGGCTGGAGTCGTTTGCGGTGGGACGCGTGGCGGTTTGGTTTGTACAGCGGGGGACAGTTCAAGGGGCGCGGGTTCGCTGTGAGGCCGAAGGAGAGAAGGAGGGAGGGGGCGGTCGACGGAGGAGCGGCGGGCGCGAGCTCAAAGGGTTGTCGTCTGGTGGTTGAGCTTAAAGAGACAGCATTGGCACTCGGGGGAGCCGCACATGGAAGCGGGATGGAAAGCAGCACGGGCCGCGCCTCGGCCTTCTCGTTCTTTCCGCCGCCGTCATCGCATTCCAAGCCCGTTACTCGAATTTGACGAGTCCTTCTTTTTCCCTCGCCCGCCGCTTGCGCTCTGCTCTTGCGATCTCCGCTCTGTTGCATTCTGCCCGGCCGCGTCAAGCTCCCGCGCAATCCCGCCCTTCCTTCCGCTTTGCCCCGTGCACCTTTTAGCCTTCACCCCACGCGCCTTCTTACTTAGCTAGGCGCGCGCCCGAGCGTCAGCGGTGAATCGGTGACAGCAACAACCAGTTATTGTCTCTGCCTTCCAACATGGGTTCTCAAGAGGACGCCGTTGCCCTCAAGGAGAAGGGCAACAAGGCTTTCAAGGAGCACGACTGGCCCGCCGCCATCGACTTCTACACCCAGGCCATTGAGGTGTACGACAAAGAGCCCTCGTTCTACACCAACCGCGCCCAGGTATGCTTGTTGCTTCCCCGCCTCTAGCAACTGCGCACGCGACCAGTAGCTGACAGAGTCCCACCCAGGCCAACATCAAGCTTGAGGCATACGGTTTCGCCGTCGTCGACGCAAACAAGGCAATCGAGCTCGACCCGAACAATGTCAAGGTGCGTGAATATTGCATTTCTGCGGGAAGCGTTGCGTGAGTGCATTGCTGAACCACGTTCCAACAGGCATACTACCGCCGTGCCGTCGCCAACACGGCCATTCTGAAGCACCACGATGCGCTCCGCGACTGGAAGATCGTCGTCAAGAAGAACCCGAACGACAAGGTCGCGAAGCTGCAGCACGCCGAATGTGAGAAGGTCGTCAAGCGCGATGCTTTCCTCAAGGCCATCGAGGTCTCGGATGCGCCCTCGGCAATCGAGGGCCTCGATCTGGACAACATGGTCGTGGAAGACGGGTATGACGGTGCGAGGATGGAGGGCACGAACATGACCAAGGAATTCATCGAGGACATGATCCAGAGGTTCAAGGACGGCAAGAAGATCCACAGGAAATATGTCTACCAGATCATCATCGCTGTGAAGGAGCTCGTGTACAACGAGCCCACCATGGTCGAGTATGACGTTCCCGAGGGCACCAAGATTACCGTATGCGGTGACACTCACGGTAAGTTACACCATTCGCTCTGCTTCGGCATTGGCTGATGGCATTGCAGGCCAATTCTTCGATCTTCTCGAAATCTTCCGCCTCAATGGCTTCCCGTCTGAATCGCACGCATATCTCTTCAACGGTGACTTTGTCGACCGTGGGTCGTGGTCGACCGAAGTGGCGCTCTTGCTGTACGCGTATAAGATGCTGTACCCCAAGCTCTTCTTCCTCAATCGCGGCAACCACGAGACGGACGACATGAACCGCATGTACGGCTTCGAGGGCGAGTGCCGCGCCAAGTACACGGAGCGCGTCTTCAAGATCTTCTCGGAGTCCTTCTCCGCATTACCGCTGGCCACGCTCATTGGCAAGAAGTTCTTCGTTCTGCACGGTGGTCTGTTCTCGAACGACGCGATTAGCTTGGACGACGTGAGGAAGTTGAACAGGCACAACCAAAGGCAACCCGGCCAGAGCGGGTTGATGATGGAGATGCTGTGGACGGATCCACAGCCCGCTCCTGGTCGGGGCCCCAGCAAGAGAGGTGTCGGTCTGCAATTCGGACCCGATGTCACCAAGAGATTCTGCGAGAAGAACGGGCTGGAAGCCATCATCAGAAGTCACGAGGTTCGCATGGAGGGTTACGAGGTCGAGCATGACGGAAGGTGCATCACGGGTAAGGATATCGGTTCATACCATGCAAGTGTCGGTGAGCTAATCAGCTGGCAACAGTCTTCTCGGCACCCAAGTACTGCGACAGCACGGAAAACAAGGGTGCATACATCAACATCGGCCCCGAGCTGAAGCTCGACTTCCACAAGTTCGAGGCGGTGCCGCACCCGCCGATCAGGCCGATGGCGTATGCCAACAACGGTCTCATGAACATGATGTAGATGGGTCATTGTTTGTAACGATTGATGGCCTATTTCTCCAGTTGATGTCTCTTGTCTCTCGACAGCGGAGTTTTCGCACATGGCAGCATTTCCGTCGCCGGCGATTTCGAATCTGCGTTCCAAAAACCTATTTCTCGGTTCGTTTCTGCATCAAAGAGAGCAGAGGGATTTGGATGGGCGTTCTTGATCTACTACCGACCACTATTTTTTTTCATTTTCTATGCCCTGAGGATCGTCAGGGAAAGGCCTTTCTTGCATAGCGTTGCGGGGGGAAGAAAGTTTGTGGTGAGCCAGATGGGGCAACGTTCAGTATGGGCGCAGAGACATTTTCTATTCTCATACAATCCTTTCCATTTTCTTGGCTCGTCTTCCCTTCTTGATGTGTTTTAGGAGATGAATTGGCTGGTTTTAGCACGTTTCTGGCCTTGCTACAGCAGGTCATTTCCCTTTCTCACTCCTGGGTGCCTTGTTGGTCTCCAATTGGCTGGCTGGCTTCCGGTTGGCTGACAGCTGAGCATGGCAGATGCTCCGGAGGTGGGGGGCTGTTGTTCTCGGTCGAAGTTGCGGATTCAGAGCGCTGTACGTGGCGCTCCTCGAAGGACAACTGGGCAGATGAAATATGAATACGAGTCCTACTGAATGCTTATCGTCAGGCGTCATGGCATAAGGCTTAGGTGGGCGGAGCTTCTCTCGGTCCAACCGCGGCGCCGCCTCACCTTCTTCTTGTTCTCGCTGCCACAGAAAAAAACAACAAAGCCCGCGTCGACGTCAGGCCCCAGGGAATTTTGCGGGTCTAGGAACGGCACGCCGGGCAACCCGGGTGGGGCCTAGCTGAGCCTGCCTTAGCTCGAGCCCTTTAATAAACAACGCTGCCCCTCCATCTACCCCTCCTCCCCCCCTCCTCTCTCATCCATTGCGCCCATCTTTTCATCAATTCACATCACTACACGGTATGTCTTACTCTCTCCTTTCGTCCACCATCTTTTATTCAGTCACGGTCGGGAGCGTTTGCCCCATTGGTGCGCGGCGGCGTCTCCCGGCGGCCTGGGAGCAGCGGAGGAGGGGCAAGACGTGACATCAGACCACGAGCAATGGAGGTGGGCGGCGCCATTGATCGTTGTCGTCGTTTGAGCTCTTTTTGCCCGCCTCCTCCTGTCTGCATTGCGGGACTCGGTTGTCTTTGGGGGCAGAGATGCGGGAGGGCTGTCCGTTGCGTGCGGTAGAGAGCATCGGGGTCCCATTGCAATCCAAGACTTCTTTCGTAGACATGTGCTGGGATGCAGGAAAAAGCTGATGATTGATCTGCGTCAGAAACAACCAATCAGCAAAAATGGTCTACACCATCGTCGTCCACCTCTACGCCAAGGAGGGCAAGGAGGTCGAGGAGAAGCTGCGCAACAAGCTGATTGAGGCTTCGCAAGTCTACTCCAAGGACAAGGAGACCGTCGGCTGGCACGTCATGCAGGACCACAAGGACCCCCGCAAGTGGTGCATCGTCGAGCGCTACGAGCAGGAGAGCGTAAGTCATTTTTCCCCCTCTGTCGAAACAATGTCGTTCCTCTCTCTCTCCCCCTGCTGGATGCTGTACTTATTTCAATTCGGGGACATGCAGAGCCAGAAATACCACCTGGAGAACCCTTACTGGAAGACCTTCGACCCCTACGTCATCCCCCTCCTGGACAAGGAGATGGATCTCCGCCGCTTCCATGAGCTGGACACCAGCAAGCCCGTTACCGTTGCTTAGATGGTGGGCGGCTATTTGGTTCGGCGGGAGAGGTTCAAACCGCCATGAGACGGAACAGCGGCTGTATTTAAACGAAATGTAAATATTCATGAAATCAACCAAAGGTGAAGTCTTCTTGTCAGCTGCTCGGGTTTTCTCTCTTTCCACGTGTCGGGAATCCCTTACCCGGTGGCCGGAAACCTTTCTTGTCAGTTGCTCTGGTTGAGGTATTTGAACTCAGTTGAGATATCAGGCAATCACTCTCCCTCAGTATTTCCGTGCTTCCGGATTCATTACTCAACGACCCATTCTACTGCTTGGAAGTTCATGTCATTGCACTTTTTGGAGTGTTGTGGAGAGAGAGAGCGATTCTCGAGCACGAATAAGGGAGACCGGCATAATGACGAAGCTCATCAGTTGAAGATGATGCGCAGCACCAACTATCTCTGGTATCGTTGTGAAAAATCAGAGAAAAGTGATGAGGGTACGGATCAGTAGAGGAGCAGGAGAAGTCATCAGGCCCAAGAGCTTGTGCTTCCAGGCTCTCGGAAGTTGCGTCTGACCGCAGCCACCGCAACGCCCGCAAGTACGCGGCTGTATTTCGTTTGGTAGAAGTTCTCAGCTCAATAGGCTGGCCACTCCCGCTGTAACGCTCAGTGGTGAAGTGATGAAGAGAGATTGAGCTCGGCGAAGGGCTCTGCATTTAAGCAGCGTTCTGCCCTCGCTCCAAAGGCAGTGCAGACGCCTCACCACCGGACTCACGCGGTCAGGAGGGGAGGGGGCCAGCGTCAGATGTGCATACTTTCGCAATGGCAACTGCGCTTGACATACCGTGAGGCCGGTGTCAGCAGGCGCCTATTCTGACCCTAGAATGTCCCATCTTTCAAATGGGCTTGGTAAATGCTGCACGGCACATGATGAGCTACTCGTGATGTCTGTTTCCAGCTGTCGCGTGCTATTTTATCACGTGTCCCTTTGAGCAGGTCGTGATAGAGGTCGTGTGTATCCGGATGGTGTCTGGGCTGAGGCGGTCCAAAGTCAACTTAAATATCCTGGGCTCGGTCCAGTTCGTCGGTGTCCAACATACTCTAATAACCTCCCCGGGAGAAAGGAGAGTACTTTAATCGAACTTATCACCGGCCTCAACTCCTTTGTCCCGTTTGGGAATCTCTATGCTCATTTGGTCTTGGAGAGCTTACACAATGACGCTGTCACAGACAATGATGTATGTACATCATCAATTTATATCAATACAGCGCAACATTACCAAAACTATGATGATGTGGAGGATCGTATTGACGTCTTGGCGGCTTCTTACTGACTGCACAGGGCTGCAACTTGAGTAGAGCGGCGAGAACCGAACGGATGAGCTGGAATGGGATTAGTAAACACGAAACGCCAGTTCTTCGGACTCCTGAGGGCCTACAGAGACAACAGCCACTCTCAGTTCATCAGAAGATCAGCATAGGCGAAATGAAGCTTTACTTTTGTGCCGCTGCTTCAGCGAGAGTGGAGCACCCGCCACGAGACGGTGAGACCCTCCCTGTCAGTCAGCTTATCATGTGCTGCACACGGCCCGAAGCGACAAAGCGCATAGCCAGGTTAGATCAGCGGAATCGATCCAGTCACGAGTCGTAGAGTTGGTAGGCCCTGGATGGAGCGTATTACAAAAGTGGTCTTTCAGTGGCATTATTTAGCTTTTGGTTAAGGACTATGCAACTGGTGTTGTAATCGCTTGCCTCAGAGATATTTCTGTCGAATATCATGCCAAACTGTTGGTTTTCTCTTTTTCTGTCTCGCAACGCCGTTGACTTCACACTACTGTGGCTCCTGGCCGATTTCCGGTTTATTTCAATGCCAGAGCGGCGGTAAACTGTTTGTCTCTACGGCCTGAAAGGTAATTGAGGATGGGCATAGACTGTTTTTACCGATGATGTCCTGCATCGTTAAGAAATAAACGAGTTCTATGTCCTACTTTCGTTGAGTTCCTTGATAATGATTAAGTACCATCAGGCCCGCATGTAGTTCACTGACTTCTACTTTCATTAGAAATTAGCTGGACACCTGTTATCTCAAAGGCCATGATGCCATACAGCCAAGTATCCGATAATATCACGAAGGATATCAAGATGGAGGCCGGCGAATTAGAGTGAAGGCTTTGTAAGAGCACTATTCGAGCGTAGGTCCAAAGATGTTGACATGGTGATGGAGAATTGCCGAAGACATGCCTTATGCAGGTGCCCGGAGGTAGTGATGAAGCGTAGGATGTGATCCCAGCTGTCGATTGCAGATTTCCTTGTGTCTAGGGTATAAAGACCCCCTTCATATAAGAGGCAGTACTACTTTCACCTTCTGGTCAAGTAATCGTAATAGGGAATCTATCCCCTTTACGCCCAAAAACAATGATGGTACTTGGAGAAGGTTCTGCTTGGGTTTTCAGGATCGCAAAGGCAAATGCACAGCCCTGGATTTCCAGAAAAAGCACTCCTGATTCACGAGTATGTTGGAAAGCAGCACCGAGCATCAACGATGACGAGCATTGACCAGCACCTGTATCTCAATCCGATACCCTCCAATCTTGACTGTCAAATCATTCTCTCCTCTCAAATCAACTTCTAGAACTATAACTTTTAGTTGCACCGATTATGCAGTATCGACATGATGGTTTTGGCATTTCAGCAGTCCGTGCCACCTGCAGTTTGGTAGCGCTTCTCGACTACCCGATCAGGATGGCAGCTAGCGGCGATGCAGACATGAAATCACTGCTCACGATCGGACTCATTCCACCACATTTAGTGACCCTTCCCCACGTGATTTTCGTAGGGTTTCGTCCTCCCGCGTTCTTGAGTGACGCTGCTGGCTATTAGTGTTGACCATTGAAGTCCACATCCACATGTAGATGTAGCGCCTACACTTTACAAATGCATCTCCCCGTAGGATTCATTCCCAACTTGACGGCAATAAAATCCACAGCGCGGCTCCCTCCGTCTCATATGCCAAGCCACGCCACAATTGATGACCGGTCTGTCCACACCGACGACCGACCGTCCGCCACCGCCGCCACCGAGCTACGAAAGAAAAAAAATACTAAGCCATCAGGTCTTTCGGCACTCGAACCTCCGTGACCGACCATCACGCGGACATCCGAGTCCGTGCCATGACCAACCCACTCCACAACAGAAGGAAGATCCTCTCGTCAAAGCGCTTTTGCTGCTGTGGCGACCGAGGATGCCCCACGCGCCACTCCACGTGACACCAGCATTCCGAATAAGGCAATCAAGTCGCGATCGCGGGGAAAAAGGTTGATGCCTGATGACCAAAGTCGTCGTCAGCACAACCAGTCATCACGTACGGAAAGAACACCTGTCCAGAAGAATTTTTAGAAAAAAAAAGGAAAGGCCAGCAGTGTACACACGGACGGACGGACGGCGAGAAGAGACGGACGGACAAGTGTCATCTCCTCTCCAAACGAAAAAAAAAAACACCATGAGGGGTAGAGGTAACAATAACGATGGCGTGCGCGCGGCGCTGAGTAAACCAGGGAAAAACGATCGCCGTGATGATCACCATCGCTACTGATAGCCGTCGTCACCACCACCAATCAACACCACCGGCGCCAAGGGTCGGCACAGACCATGCTGTTCACTCCCCTCCCCTCCCTTTACCACCTTCCCCCTCCTCTCCTTCTCCTGCCTTCCTTGCCTTTTGTTTTGTCCCGAACTTTCACAGGTTCGGCGGCGGCGGCACCCGCGGGCCCTCCCCCCCTCCTTCCCCCGGCGAACGGAAAGAAAGGTTCCCCCGCGTGTCTTGTTATCGTCGGGTATGTACCTGGGTGTCCACCAGAGAAGAGCGTCGTCCTGTGGAAAAATAGTACAGAGAGAAAACAAAAATCAATAAAAAAAATTCGTTTAATTTAACTCCCCAACTACCACCGGTCACTACCCACCAGCCAGAAGTCGTACGAGAGGAAAATCCTCCTCCGCCAGCTCGCCTCCCCCCGCCCGCCCCGTACCTTGCATGAATTCCAAATTCCTTCCTCTCTCTCCCCTCCCCCCCCACGCTTGATAACGCACATACGATGGGGGGTTGTGTCTCGATCGGAATGGGTGCACACACACATAACACAAGAAACACGTGTGCCAGTGAGGAGGAGAGTGGTGTGTGTGTGTGGGGGTGGTACGGTGCCTATCCATTGGCATGGAAACTCTATCTATCTACCTACCACAACGCGTGCCCTGCATACCTCTTCTGTTATTAGTGCGGCGGCGGGTAGATAGGATGGGTTCGGATCGTAGATCATGCGTGTATGTGTGTGTGTGGGTAAATTTTCAATCAAGAAAGATGGAGACCAGATCGCCGCCCGCACACCTGCATCCAGCCCCCCTCCCCCCCGCTCACAGCGCCAGGCAAGGGCAAAAAGAAAAGGAAATGCAGGGCAGGGCGAGAAGGTAGGTATTTCGTCATTCTAGTGCGGGTTGCCGGATCTAGCTGAGGGAGGGAGAGGACCGGGTTGATGGGTGGTCGGTCGGTGCAGTCGATGCTGCGAGGGAATTGTGTTAGCACGTTGGACATATCCGGTCGGATTGACCGTTGTGTGGAACTCACGAGCGAGAGGATCTCGATGACGTTCGATCTCATGACGAAGAGACAGATTTCAAAGCGAAAGCGAAAGAGAAAGAGTGAGAGAACAGCCAGTATAGTCTAGAAACAGTAGATTTAATTTGAATCCACTCGCAACACACTTTAGACGCCCTTCCACACATGTACCATAGAACCCCACTTTTCTGCGTACACGAAAGCGTTCGAGAAACAGCATCGAAAAAGAAAATCCATAAGACGGGACATGACATCAACACCCCCCTCAAATCGAGCAAGGCCTGCTAGCACGTACACGGTGAGAGACAGAGACAGAGAGACCTCAAACTCCACCCCTCCCAGTTGAAGGAAGAATAGATAGGCAGAAAGCAAGGAAGAAGAAGAATCTTCCAGCAGAAAGAAAGAAAGAAAGAACAAGCCTCTGGGAATCTATATACATAACAAGCATAAAATGGTGTCACCAAGCTTTCTGATTCATCAACTCCGTAGTAGTAATGGTGACAACGCCACTTGCTTTCCCTGCCCGAGGTAGACGAGAGGAGGCAAAAAACTAAATCTCAAACACGAAAGGAGATGGGAATCAATCCGTTGTCCGCCTTCCCCGTCCACCCAACCCATCCTTTGCTTGCCATCCCATCCTACCCACTCCAAAAAAAAAGAATGTCTGCTGTCGTGAACAAAAAAGAGAATTGATGCTGTTTTGGGAAGTAATGTCGTGAAAATGGTCTTGTTTTTGTTGCGAGGGTGTGTAGTGTAGGGACTGTTGTACAGACAGTCTGTAGTGTTTTTCCATCTTTCAATCCTGCACAGCTCCCCTCGGCGCGGTTTTCAGGGTATCGGAAGCGAGCAAAATGGGAGACGGCGGAGAGAATTAGAAGACGTACGGTTTTGGAAACCACCCGCCGACACCGCGCTATTCAGATAAACCGATAAAAACAGTCGTCGATAACAATATCGACGCATTTGTGCAAAGCATTATTACGCAAGTTGCGCAATGAAGAACCAGACCAAAACGCACAATCCCCTAACCAGGTACCTACTCCACGTGCGCCGTGTACACATGAACTTCTCCGAAAAAGAGAATATAATGAGACACTTTGGTTTACGCAACCTCGACCACGCGGCCGGGCGTCGTTCGTTCCTGGACAGCGCCGAAGAAGGCAGACGCAGCCGCCCACAACTGTGGGAGCCTGCTCCGCAGCATTGCACACAGAATGATGAGCAGCAGTGGGATCCAAATGAAGAACAGGTTGCGATCGCTCCGGATCCGCTTCAGCTTCTGCGCATGGGCCCTTCTGACCTGGTCCTGTTCTTCCTTGGTGAGGCTCTTCTTGCCAAGCTCGACGTTCAGGCTGCCCTTGGTGGCGTCACTTGAGCTCTCAGCCACAACGTCAAACTTCTGGACGCACGCCTGGTCGAGGAGGTGATCGGCAACAGCATGAGCCACGGACATCTTCTTGACATCTGTGTCCTTGTCCGCATTCTCTGGGAATATCTCTTCGTAGGCCGGAGGAGCCGCTGGCGTGCTGAACAGGTCCTTCCACTTGTAGTCATTGCCGTTCGACTCGGACGGAGTTTCCATGCCGTCGGTAGAGGACGACGGCGTACGCGGCGGGCTGCGATGTGGTACAAGCGAGCTGATGCGACGCATCATGGGATGAGCCTGGTAACCCGGAAGGTTCGGTAGAGGCGGAAGAGCCGGAAGCTGCAGATTAGGCAGGTTCCAGTGCATGTTCTGCTGGAATTGATTGATTTGGACACTCAGGTTCTCTCTCCATGCGTTCATGGCAGCCACGACAGGTAGTGCTGGCTGGTCCTGCTGACCAGTCGAAGGTAAAGGCAAAGGTCGGATTTCCTTGGCACTGCCACGACGCGAAGGAACCCAGCCAGGCGCTGACGGGGTTTCCACCGGCTCCTCCGACTCCTCCCCTTCGTCCTCATAGTCGGCTTCAGCCTCGCTGACATAGCTGGGGGAAGACGACTCCCACACGGAATGAGTAGACGCGATACTGCTTGCCCTGCTGCGCATTGAGAAGGACACGGAGCCAGCGCTGCGTGTTCGCCTGTGTGACGTGACTCGCTGAAGGGCGTTGAGCACCTCCTCAGAAGTAGCCAAGTCAGATGGAAGATATCCCTGCAGACTACGCATCATCGGGTCGGCTCCCTTGGCAATTAGACGGCGCACGATGTGAGCATGGCCGTGCATGGCCGCCATCATCAGGGGAGTGTAGCCTCCACGATCGCGAGTATCGGGATTGGCACCTCTCGCGAGGAGGCCTGCAACGACGCGACCATATCCTAGACTGCAGGCAAGCGACAAGAACGTGGCGCCGGTCTTGTTCTTCATGTTGAAGCGCGGTAGATGAGGGCTGTCGTCCATGTCGACCAAATCCAAGTATCGGAGGAGTATTTCCTCCGTGTCTCCCGGCGGAAAAGCGGAATCAAACCTTTGCTGCATGTTACCACCGTTCTGGGTCCAACGGTTGCTGGCCATGGTTACGACATGGCGCGCGAAGCCGCGGTAATCATCCGCCTTCGCATTGCCGTTTTGCTTCTGGCAGAGAATGCGTAGCGCCATCTCGCAAATGCGCTGGTCGTCGTCGTCCACGTACTTGAAAGAAACAATAGGACCAGGTCCGGGTGTAGGGATATACCCATTCTGCATCCGGACAGTCACAGGAACGACGGCGGGGTGGGGCGAGGGAGGCAGCAGGCTGACCAAAAGCTGGTTGTTCCAGAACGTGGTCGTGGTTGCAATCGTATCTCCGAAATAGATTTCCATATCTCGAGTGAAGTTGGAGCCTAGGATCGAAATCTCGATTCCTCCGGACTTGGAATACTCACCTGGGGTGACCTTGTAAATCGAGGGAGGCAGCGTGACTTGACCTGGCGAGTCCATATGCGATTGCAGCAGGTTCATGGGGGTTCCGACCATGTTTGCTGGGATTGGTGCTGGATTGTAGCCACCCATCGACTGTCTCCCGAGCGATGGGCTTGGAGCACGGCTCTGCTGTGTGGAGTTCGGCATGGAAAGGAACGGGTAATTCAGAGCGTCCATGCTTCCAGAGCGTGTGTTGGGGGTGACATAGCCGGCATTGCTACCGGGAGTGGAGGGACCAGAAGCGTAAGGCGGAATTGTGACGGGCTGCATCATGAAGTGAGGGTCGTTTGCAGTTGCGTACGAACTACCTTGAGGCATGGACGTCGAGGGCATGGTGGTTGCCATTGCCATGGCTTCCGCGGTCGCTCCGGGGCTTGTTGCGGTGCCACCACGATTCAGCTGGGTCATGGCAAGGTCTCGAGGGACCTTGTGATGGTGGGTGGCGCTCGACTTTCGCTTCTTGTTCGGCCCCGTTTGCGCACCCACTGGCGACGTCTGGCGTGAAAGATTTCGGGGAGTCACGGTAGCCTGCGACATGTTGGTCGGTCTTGGAAAGGTCTTGGGGCCTGTCCAGTTGTTCTGGAGAGACTGCAAATCATTGGTGGAGAAGTACGGCCTGCGATGCGGCCCGGATTGCAAATCCTGCTGCTGCTCAGTCACGGTACCCAGGGGCGTGAACGGCAGATTCGGGTCGGGATGCATTCCAGTCGAGGAAGGAACCGGGCCTCCTTGCGTCTTGTGATCATCCGTGATAAGGATTGGGCTCGTCATTGACTGCGCGATCACCTTTCCGCGATAATCCTTGATGGTGAAGATCACCCTGGAAACCAGTGTTAGCCTCAAAGATGCACAGCATCTGGCCAGGTAGGCACTCACCGGAAGCCGTTCTTCTCGCCCTGGTGGCGACAGTAGCAGGCAATGCGCATGGGTACCTCTATTTGCATCGCGGTGGGTGAGTATTGCGGCACGTCGCCTGCCTTTGGGGGTGTGACAGCTCCCCAGTCCTTGTACTCTTTGTCGTTGAACACGATGACCCGTTCGTTCTCATATTCCGCCCATGCCTCCTCATCTTCTTGTTTCTTGACTCTTTTGCGTGCAGCGCGCTTACGCTCACGCTGCACACAGTTCTGGCAAATGCGCACCTCGCCACCATTGGCAGGCTTGTCGGGGTCATCTGGATCGTCATCGGGCATGTCGGTCTGGGAAGAGCGCCGTGGATTGCTTTTCCGTGCGTTCGATTGGTAGCTACTGGCTCGCTTCAGGGCACGCATTTGCAACTCGGGTTTCTCCATAGCACTCGCGCACACCAGCGATGTGAAAAGTTCCAGCGTCTCGGGCGCCTTGATGATCTCTTTTGCCAATAGCTTGGGCTTGGAAACTGCGTTTCTGGGGAGATGGAGCTTCGTGACTCCGGCCGGCACGGGATCCAAAATCAGCCTGATGCCGATTTGTGTTTCGACTCGCGATTTGCTGCCTTCTTGACTGATGTGCAGGCGGGGCCTGCCGGAGACGGCATTCGGGAAGACGATGGCCTCGGCGGGGGGGTAATTCAGTGGTGCCTGAGTCGGCGAGAGTTCGCTCGCATACGGATGGTTCGGAAAGGCCGAGTTGTAGCCCGAGTCGTTCCAAAGAGGCGCACTTGAAAATATCCCAGCTGCGGGCGAAGGTTCATGACTTGAGCTCATACCAGACATGGGCGACTCGTCGCGAGCGCCAATGATGAAATCGGCCTGCTTCAGTCAGATGTGAAAATAGTGTCATTGTTCGCGCAGAAGACTCACCGAAGGGTTGGCATGCATTTGGGACGAGTGCTGTTCCAACTTGGACGGCACGACAGTCTGGTTGGGCGAGCCGCAGGTGAAGATGGCAGGACTGCTGCCACTGCTGCCAACTTCGAAGGCAGACGAGGCCATGGTCTTGCCGATCGTATCCACGTCATTTTCGAGATTGAGAAAATCCGAAGACTCACGCTTGACGAATATCGAGTCGTGGGCGTGGGGCATGTCGAAGCCCGCCATCGAGTCCTTGTGCCACTCGTCCATGCTGGTGTCGGCGCCGCCGCCGAAGAACTGTGATGGCGACGAGTCAGACGAGGTCAGCTTCCGCTTGCGCCTGCCAGACGTCTCGGAGGCTGAATCTTGGCTCGAGCTGCTTGCGGGCGACGACGACATTTGCGAGCGTGGCTGCAGGGCGGCGGACTGTGACTGCAGCGGAGCAGGCGTGTGGTCGCTGCGGGCGGCGAAGGCCTTGGCGGGCGATGGATAGCCCGGCATGGCAGACTGGGTCCGGGCGGGAGACGAAAAGGCGTCGTTGTTGAGATATTGGTTGTAGTCGAAGGCTGCCTCGCCGCCCATGTCGGACAGGTCGGGCTCGAGACCGGTCGAGTCAAACATCTGCGGGTCGGTGGCCCAGTGCTCGGCCATGTTGTCGTCGTCGAAGATGTGCGGGACGTAGGAGTCGTCGGTCGCCATTGCCAGCGGAAGGGCTTAGGGCGCGTCGCACGGCGGCGGCGGCGTCGGAGCGCAGGGTCGAGGCGCGCGAACTGGGTTGGGCCCGCCCTCGAGAACGTGCGAATGCGCCGACGGACCAGTAGCTGCTCGGTCGGGGCCGCGAGGGGCTGCGGGCTGCGGGCTGCGGGCTGCGGGCTGCTGTGCTGCTGTCGGCGTCACTACGCGGGCATGGCAGAGACGGGGGCGGAGAGGAGCGGTGGGTGGAGGAGCAGGCAAGCGTACGTTGGAGGTGAAGGCGATGAGGTGTGTGTGGGTTGTGGGTGGGTGCGTTGCTGGTTAAGGTGGCAGGCGATAGGCTGCCGGTGCCCGCGTGCGTGGTCCAGTCGACGAAACCCTTTTTAGGATGCGCGCCTGGAGGCAATATTGCGATTTCGCCGAAGAGACGGCCGGGGCGAGGGCGCAGGGCGGGCTGCCGACGGGCTGCCGGCGGTGTTATAGCTGGCTGGCTGGCGGCCGGGACTGGGCTGGCGGTGGTGTGAAGACGGGTGCCGTTGTCGTCACGGCGCCCGGTGGTCGGCCTGCCTGCTCGACGTCGCCATCTATAGTGATCGCCGCTGTGCGGAGAGGAGGCCCTTTCTCGCCGCTAGCAGCAACGCAGTAAGGCGCCGCATCAGCCTGCAGCGCCTCCATCTGACGCCCTGGCACCCCCGCCGCCGTCCAGCATGCCTCCTTCGCCTTCGCGCCGCCGCTGATTGGGCCTCTGCCCAAGCTCTGCCCAAGCGGGCCAGACGGACTCGCCCGCGCAAACCCTTGGCCGTGGAATCTGCGCGCTGGCCGCTGGGGCGCCGGAGCGCGCGCGAGCAACGACCTTCCCGGATCCGCCTGCAGCGGCACGCCTGCCGTTGAGGTCAGTACTGCGACCTCATCCGCCGGCACCTCGCCCTTGCGCAGCCCGTCCCAGCGCCGCTCGCCTCCCCGCCGGCCTCCAGCTCGCGCGCTGTGCCCGTCTCTGCGTGCTGGCGCCGCGGCGATGCTCCTGTCCGCCACGGGCAGCCGTCCCAGCGCCGCGGACTCGCGGGCGAGGTAGCGAGACCTGGGAGCGCCAGCCTACCCAGGTGCATGCTGAGGCTGGTTTCTGGGCGGGTCCAACGCGAGATAAGCCCCAGACCTTTCCGCTTTCAACTGCCCACACCAGAGCGCAAGAGAGACGCGCCATCCGACCATGGCCCCGTATCGCCCACAGAACCCTCAGCACCGCGGATGCGCCAGGATAGCACTCCCTGTGGCAAGCGCCCTGCCCCGTCGCCGCCGCAAGCTGACGTACTACGTATGCTTCGTCGCGACCGTCGTGCGAGCTGCCCCGCCGGCCGTCTTGAACAGCACCCCCACAACTCCACACCAGGCCGCGCCCTGCCGGTCCTGTGCTGACAGAGCCCCGGCATCGGCTTGGCAGGCCGAGGCGGAGGCGGAGACGGGCGTCTTCAGCCGCCCCGCGAGCTTGCGGCTGCTCAATGGCTTCTTCAGCATCTGGCATGCATCGAGATATGCCAGCTGCCTGCGCGGAGGACGACGTCCCGCGGCGCACGCGGGCAGGTCCGCCAGCGGCACGCAGCACTCTATGCAACGGACGATCGCAATGAGAGGTGCAGCAACGGCAGACAGGAAGTACCAGTACAGTGCGGTGCTCGGACGGTGCTGTTGTCTGAAGCCAAAGGGCGCGGCGGCTGACAAACGCTGTATCCATGGCGGCGGGCGGGCGTCGTCACCAATGGATGCAATAACGGGCTTGATATTGCGGTAGGAAATCTGGATGCTGCAACGGACACGGCAGTGCAGAATGTGGCCTGGGGTTGTGGCCCTATTCTTGCATCAAGCGCGGTCGGGGGCGGGCGCGCATACGGCTGTGATTGGCACGCACGCGCCGCATTACCCGCATTCCTCAACGACCGATAACGCATCCTGCATGCTGGCGGACCCTTGTGCGGTACCTGGAAGCGCGGTGGTGGTGGCCTTCATTCGACGTCGACTGAAGACAATGCGTGCCAGAGAGTGCGGCTCTCAGGGCTGCCGGAAAGCTAGTGCTGGTACCTGCCAATCCTTCCCAACAAACCCGCTCTGAGGCAAGCCCCCCCAAGGTGGGTCGCTCGATGGCCATGCTCAGAGTGTGCTGCAGCGGACGCATGTCCGGCGATGCTGTCGGCCTCGCACCATGTCCAAGAGCCTTTTTTGCGTCCAGCCAGCGTCCAGCCAGCGTCCAGCCAGCGGCCTAACGCTCCCGTCCGCAGCCGTTTTCGGGCCCGCACCAAGCCAATCCAACGCCTGCACCGGAAGGCTAACGGGCTCTCGCCGTCTGTGATAGGCGCACAGTCGGAAGCCAACACTGGGTTCCATGTTTCGCTCGCGTACACGGATTCTTCACCCCCGTCTCCTTCCTTGGTCGCTCGCAACAGAGAGTCGATTCCGGTCTGATAAGAGGGCCATGTACATCGTGGCGTCGTCTGCGGTTGGCGCCAGCGGGTCGATGCTCCCGATGCCCCCGATCTTGGGCTTGGGTCCGAGCGCAGATCATGGTCGACGCTCTGTTTTCTCCGGCCGGGAGCCCAGGGAAAAGCTACCCAGATGCTGCCGCCGATGCGTCGCATGTCATCGGCTGTGCACGCAGCGGCCGCCCGGGTCGCTCCTTCCCTTCTTTTCTCCTGCTTGCGGGCGGCTACAATGCCATTGTCCTGTGGCATGGCGCTTCTTTCGGAGAGATCGCGTCGTCCCCACCGAACTTCCCCGCGTTTGCACCAGATTTCCCGACTCGGGCGCCGGGGCTCTCCGGCGCTGGCCTGACCACCAGGCAGCCTCTGCCATGTTTGCGTCATCGGGGCGTCACGGGGCACAGTGGCGGAAGATGGCGAGCTGCTCTGCGTTCTGAATATTGCCCGCCCTTCTTTCCTCTTCCTCGGGTGTGCGCCTTGGCAGTATCAGGGACAGCCGTCGAACCTGAGAAGAATGATCAGACTATGAGCCGGCGTTGCTGCGCGACCGCTGGATCAGCTTTTGCATGTCCGCCGCCCTTGGGTCCCGGGCTGGACTTTCCCGAAGTGCGTGGGCCATTTGCCGGTGCCCAATATCGTTCGGCATCTTTGTGTGGTTCCCCGCGTCGATCAACGTGCCTGCACCGCCACGAACGCTCGATTCTTCGTAACATGGATCGAAACGAGGGAGAACATATTTCACCACTGGCAAATTTGCATAGCCCCGGCCTGCTCACCCTGGGGCCCGGCTCTCATCCCGCGCGATTTCTGCTCAAGGTGATTTGGAGGAGTGATGAGCCTGCTCGCCGTAAAGACAGGGTTCGCGTAAAGCCAGGGTTTGCGCTTAACACTGGCGTACCGGTATGCATCTTTTCTGAATGCCTCTTGGCAACACGAAAGCCCGAGTCGAGGAACTTACACGGGGCTAGCTAGCCACATGAAAGAAAACAAGAGATAGATCCCTGGGTTTGGGCTCTCGTCGATTCCACCAAGACTGAGGTTTTGAACCATCCGTCTCCTTCTTGTGGCCTTTTGCTTCTAAAAGTAGCGACGCTAGCGACGCTATACATCGACGTTCCACTATGCTTGATGTCATGCGTCTCAATTCTGCTATCCCTTGATAGAGGCTTCATTATTACCTTCAGCGAGTAATCACGCATGCTGCATGATTATTATCTCGCACGATTATTTAGTCATACAGTCGGTTTCCTTTACGTCATCATGACAGACTTCCACGTTTATAATTTCGCAACGCCATACTTTGCACTGATATCTAATTGCAAAAGATCGACTGGAACGCGCACACGGCCCAATCCTGACGAGGTAAACCGGCATTTGCCTCCCTTCTTCAGAGGCTTTTATTGTGTCCTTGATAGACATGGAAGCTCCGAAGGTAGCAAGACCTTTCTCCTCTTTCCCGTTAGACTCCATCCAAAACGGTGCCCAAGTCTTCTGAATCGGCCCGGTGAGTGCTTTTTTGTTCTTCACACTTCTCCTTCGGCTGCTATTGCTTCTACCGATTTGGTCCTCAAGACTAGTAGTACCACTGATGTAGAGGGGCGACGAATATGTGGGCGATATGTGCGTGATCAGAAGACATCAAAATAAGCTTTCCATTCGACGCCGCCGAGCCACAGAGTACGTTAGCTCGGGAGTAGTTGGTGTGTGGAGCTCGACAATCCTTCCAGCAAGGTGAATGGCCAGCAAGAGGATGAGGGTCTAGATAGGAGAATTTTCTTTAGGTTATCGCGATGCTTCATGCATGATGATGTGTAGCGTGCCTTGGGGAGAACATGGTGTGGATGGCAAAGCGGCTTGGACTTATGGCGTCACGGCGTTTACGACGTTTCTTGCTTGCTGGTCGGCACGTGAAAGAAGCAAGGTTTGTGTGTGAGGCGCGAGTGACCGGTGCATATCACACTGCATGCGTGAGGGATGCCGTGCAGGTGCGAGAGAGGGGTAGGCGTGGTCTCCGGTGGCTGAAAGATACGACTTGTTCGCCCCCGACAGATCACTTCAGCCCGACGCGGCTGCAAACCGGGGATGGCGGCGATCAACTACTTCCTCCTCATGTACAGTCACCCTGCTGCTCAATGGCTGATCGAACGACTTCTGCGCCGCATTGCTACTACACCTCCACGATGGGTCATGACCATGGCCTAAAGCCCGACTGGAGAGCCCAGCGTCACGCCAACCCCGCCGATCATGTCCGTGGCCTCCCAAAGCTGCCGCCCGCATATTCAGATCCACAAAAGCCGAGAACCCACAACCCGTAATCCGCAACCCCAGAAACGCGAGACAGTGTGGGCCCCCCGATCAGCCCCATGCATGGAGCGAGAAAAACAAACGGTATCGAAGCACACATACCATCGACGCGGAGACGAAGTGCGCTGACCTCTGCATCTGGAAAGCAGAAGACAGAAAACCGGGGACCTGTCTGCCTTTCCGTCCTGGCGGCGGGCGAATGGAAACAGCGCGAGGGCCCCATCCTCGGCCTTGGCCTGCAGGATGTTAATGCAGCCCATGCGAACATACCCAACTAGCTGGCTGCGCCGCATGCAAGTAATAATGATAACGGAAACGCGAGAAATCTCGGGCGAAGCTCGCGAGTGGGGGGAAACGACACTGCATTGACGAATGATGTTGTAGGGAATACCGGGGATGCAGGCCGGAAATAAGCGATGCGGGTTTCCCTCGACGAATGCAGTTGCTCGTGTTGTCAAACACCACTCCGTCAGTTTTTTCGTGTCTTCGTGCTTGCATGAAAGGGCCTAGACTGCTCTTGCTGGCGCCCACGCATGACGGTGTGCTTGAAAATGGACACTCCCGATGGCGAGGAATGCAATCGTTTACATAACTCACCTCTAATGACCGCGCGTATCACCCGATTGTGCTCCACATCCAGCCAAAAAGTCACGCATGCTCACCTCTTCCATACCGAAGCATTCCAAAGCATTGGCAAGCACCAGCATCGCGTTCCTCCCTTTCGACATCCGAATCCCACGTCGCTGTATTTCCCGCCATCGCCATACCCCTCACATTCATCGTCCATATCATTGAGCTTTTCTTTCAAAGTCCTACGCTATGGAATTGCCTCTTCTAGTGCGGGAGTAAGATTCTGACCTACCTGTCTTCTCTGCTCAGGGAAGATGGAAGCTGATAGAAATCGCAACCTATCTCACGTCAATTCCGGCTCCGAATAACAAGAATGAGAGCTAGTGTGCGTACTATGCAGACAAAAAGCCTCAGTCCCTCGTCGGGCCGCTCTATACCATCAAGCCCAACCATGGATCTACATCATCAGGACCAGTTAATACTGAAGAGCCGCAGTCAGGCCGCAGATCTGGGCCGCGGAGAGTAAGTGGTTACTATTAGTTCTGATCCAGAGTAGCGCGTCTGGCTGCCAGGGTGAGAACCAGGCTTGAGTTCGTTGCAGCACAGCTTAGCAGGACCTGCGGCAATTAGCACCTCAAACTGACCTATGCCCGAGCACATCGACACGGCAACGCTTCATCAGATCAACCGCCACGCCGCCCGAAGTCTCTCACCAAAACACAGCAAAGTGCACTGAGCTGCGCCGCGGGCATCATCCTCCCCTAGCCAGCCCCTTCAGGGCCATCCCAAACCGCCCACCCACCCCCCTATCACGCCCCAACATCAACCGGTCCCAGTAAAGAAGCTGTTTGACTGCATGATCTATTAAATGCTACTACTACGTGGTGTTTATATAGATGAACGAAGAAAGGGGTACCCAACAAGGGTATTGTTCATGATAACACGTTGCTGAATAGGACCCTGTTGGGTTGATGATGACGATCATCCTCAACGAGATGATTATACATGATGGCGAGGTCCAACAGAAGCCACCGAGTAAGTCGAACACCTGGCTATTGTAGTGTTTGCCATCCTGCGATCTCGGCTCGAGCGGACGCTGCTCTGAGTGAGATGGAGGAATAGTGACGAAGAAGACAGTTTCTAGACTTTGGGACTGGATCACATCAAGTTGGTGTTGTAGCTTTGGTGGTGCAGTGATGGCGGCAAGAAGGCTGGAAAGAGGCCCGGAATAGATCGATATGGATATTCCAGTAATCCCATATCCGCGAGCAACAGATATCGCCAGTTCCAATGGACTCCGAGAGGTACGAGCATGCTTTCGAAGTCCCTCATCATCACTGATCGAGCATCCTCCAACGTGAAGACGGGATGAGCAAAGGTTATACAAGCCAGCAGAAGAAGGGGAAGAAAAGCACCAGAGTTCCGGAAAGCCATAGGCATGGAGTTATTCATCCCACTCATTATTCCATCAATCACTTCTCTACCTTCACATCTCCCTCATCACAATTAACTTCACACCGTCAACACCTCCTCCTCCTTCCAGCCCAAATAGTCTACAGAGGAGATAGAAGAGAAGACAGGAAGAAGACATCCCAACCAAAAGACTTTCGCCATTCGCGATGCTGACCATCATCATTGACGCTTTTATTGATTTTTTTCCCCAACTCCCCTCTCGATCGTTCATGAAATTAAATCCAGATATAGAAACGGTTTTTCCTTTTTTGAGTCCCTCCCTTGCCATGACTTTGCGGTTCAAACGATATGACTGATTGAAGCCTTCCCCCCCCCCGCCAATTTGAATCCCGCACTTTCGCCGATCGCTGTGCTGCTCATGATGACTGATGGAGATGAAAAAAAAAAAAAAATGACCGGAAATGGTCAACGCCTGAAGCACCGTGCCTGCATGATGTCCGATGTCGATCAAAGGGGAGGAAGAGCAACGGTACCTGATAGAAAAGAAAGAAAGAAAAAAAGCAGTCACATGAAGCCCGAAAAAAGAAGTCGATCCGACCACCACCTCCAAAAAGTCATTACCAAGAGCATCGAACAATGCTTGCTCTCCGTTCCCATCTCGCTTGATTCGCGTCCTCCAGAACCCTTAGTATCAACGGGGTTCTAGAACGCAGCGCCGCCCAGCTCTCCCTCTCCATTCAAGCTCCTGAGATGCTCGTCCGCCAGATCCGCCCTCAGGACGAAAGTCTCCCCCTCCCTCTCCAGCCGCTCCCATTCCCTCTTGCCCCTCCGTCCCAGCGCCTCCTTTTCCGCAATCTGCTCGCGCAGCTTGCGCGCCTCGTCTTCCAGCTTCTGCAGACGGCCGCCGTCGTAAAGGTCCTTCTGACGGATGCCGCCGGGCACGATCGCCGGCAAGTCCGACAGATGGGCGGCGACGGCGCTGTTGGTCGTGTTGAGGCTCGCCGTGCCGGCCGGGCCCGTGGGGATGGCGGGACCGGTCGGGATCACAGGGCCGCCGATGGCCGGGGCAGCGGCAGCAGGACCGGTGGGGGGCGTGGGGTTGTTGAAACGCTGGGTGCGGGGGTACGTGGTGGACGTGCTGTTCAACGAGCCGCGGAAGGGGGGTGCGGCACCACGCGGACCGGATGGAGGACCGCCGAAGGCTCCACCACGAGGGCCCCAGTTGGCAGAACCGCGACGAGGCCCCAAAGGTGGGCTGGGGCCTGTGTTCTCGTAAGGCTGGAAATCTCTTGGAGGGCCACCGCCGAAGCCACCTCTACCGCCGCCACGTGGACGAGATGGTGCCGAGAGGATGGGGTTGCCGGGACGAGCATGAGCAGATATGGGGACGTTAGATGCCGGGCCCGAGGGTGGTGACATGGCAGGGTATGCGAAATTGCGTGGCGTAGTTGACGCGGGCCCTGTGGGAGGAGCGCGTGCAAAAGAGGGGTCTCCGTTACGCGGACCAGTTGGAGGAGCAGGGGCAAGAGGAGCAGGGCTGCCATTGGGGAACGGCTCGCGCTCGCGGATGGGTACCGGTGGATCACGACGGGGTGGTGGAGGGGAACGTTCGCGTTCAATTGAGCGTGGGCGGAACGGCGAGCGTGGGCGTGGAGAGAAGTGCTCAGCAGGAGGACGCTCCTCAGGCAATAGCCCAAGCCTGCTGGGATGGACTGGAGGAGAAGAGCGACGCGAGGAAGCCACGGATTCGCGACCCGATTTCACGCCAGCGTCATACGCTGCAGGTCTCGGTGGTGAGGGCGAACGGCGCCTCCAAGAATCAGCACCATAAGGCTCGACTTGCTCTTCACGGCGGGGAGGCGACCGCGAACGTGGGCGGTAGCTCCGGTCGCGCGGCGGCGAGTACGTGCGACGTGGAGGGCTGTTTGTGTTTAGCAACGTATTTTTATTTTTTTTATTTTTTTTTGGAGACTTACCTGTAGGCTCTTGGCCTGGGTTCTTCGTAACGAGCAGCCCTCGGCGGCGGCGACGCCAGCCTCTCCCTTTTGGGCGCAGGTAGAGGCGAACGACCGCGACTACCCACAGGAGACACATCCCTACTCCTCTTCAATGGTGGCGGCGACCTCTCCCTCACTGGTCGTGGTGAAGGCCTGTCGTAGCCGGTGTCTGCATAATCACGAACCGGAGACCGCGCACGAGTGTCCCTTCTGTAATCCTCCCGGCGAGGGGAGTAGTTCCGCCTCGGTGAATAATCGCGCCGGGGAGAAAAGTCCCTGCGCCGGGGCGAGAAGTCGCGACGCGGAGAATAGTCGCGTCTGGGCGAATAGTCACGCCTGGGGGAGTAGTCTCGGCGAGGCGGCGGCGACCTGGGACGAGCCCTCCACGTATCACTCTCGGGCCTGATGTATCCTCCACGAGGGCTGCGAGACCTACGCCGGTATACGGGCGATCGGCTTCGAGGGCGCGGAGCTCTGCTGGACGAGGGCACATACGAGTCGGCTGGAGGAGGTCGGCGTGGCGGCGAGCGCGTGGAACGGTAACTGTCGCGCGGCGGCGGAGATCTCGCGGGACGGTAGGTCGACGCCGAGGGCGGTGCGTAGCGCTCGCCTCCAGGCCTGTAGGACTGCATGTCAGCTCGAATCTTGCAGCGGTTGCGGGTGCGGGCGTGGACGGTGTTGGTGTTGGCCCAAGCTGGCGCGCGAGCAAGGTGCCGCAAATGTCGATGTTGCGGGTTTGCAAATTTGGGAAGCTCGGAATTAGCAACACCCACCTTCGGTCCCTGTCACGGTCGCGATCCATTGCGATGACGTGTCTCAGCCGGTATGTCGAGCGGAGGGGCGGCGGAGTCGCGTCAAAAGTGGTTGGTCGGTTCGATGCGCCAGCGATGGTCAAGAGAAAACGAGCGAGAAAGGAGCTGGTGCAGCAAATCGTCACGTGACCAGGCGTCATCGCGATGCATGCCCGGCCGCCGGTGCCTCTGCGGCCTCTGCTACAGCCTCACTCACAGCCTCCCATCGTAGTACGCCAGGTGCGACGCCAGGGCTCTGGTGTTAGCGTGGGCGCGCTGCCATGCTCATGTGTGGCGGCCCGAGGCCCTCGTTGTGCCAGCAGGTTCCTCTCACGCCGGATTCGTGAGCCGCATCGTGCTACCTGGTTGGTCCATGGTTCGGTGCCGTAGGCGCCGGCTCCAACATGCATTTGCCTGGAACAATCAGTATCGAAGCCCCAACCATGGTTCTCGGCCGTACATCCATTCCCCCAAACCCTGTATCCCACTCGAGAGCGCGATTCTCGGCATCATCACATCTGTATGCCTGGCGAGGCATTGCGGCAGTCGACTTCGGAATCCTAGGCAGAATTTTTGCAAGCATTGATCTTATGGTACTCCTTCCTGATCCCGGAAACCCAGCCCATCCAGCAACGCCCGCCGGCTATGGAAGCTTTCCCTTATGCATGTCCTGAATCAACAACAACTGGTATCTTGACCTCCTCCCGTTAATTTCATCATCTGATTCCCCTCGCTCTGGGCTTTTTTGAATTTCACCTGCTCCTGCTTTTCAACTGTCCTGTGATCTTTCCAATGTGTTGTTCGCCAGTAGATTAGCGCCTGCCGCGGCGCTCTTGATCCTTCTTCAGTCGCTTGGCACTCTCTTCGGCAATCATCGAGCTGAGATCATCCTGGTAAGCGGAGCCCCAGCCGCCCTGCTGTTCAGCCTGGCGCTGGACCTCATATTGCCTCTTGATCTCATCTTTGCTCAACTTGTCATCCCTCTCCAGGGCATCCATGTCGACACTGACGTCAAGATCGCCTGCCTTCCTCTTTTTCCTACCGCTGTCTTCCTGCCCAAGGACTGGAAGGTTCTGCTGAGCGGTTTTAAGGTCGTATGCCTTCTCGCCACCAAAGAAGCCTGAGGCCTTGATGTTCTGTTCGGGCAGCACCGTGTAAGCCGAGCGGGGATGTGTCGGTTCCTCTGTTTCGGTACCGCGGCGTTGTTTGCGTAGAGTGAAGTCACCACCAACACTTTCTGCGCCGCCGTATTCGGACGGGACAGTCGATGCCATGCCGCCTGGTGTCACAAGGCCACTGGCGTCCATTCCGCCAGCGTCCTCGTCTTCGTCCTCATCCTCGTCCTCCTCTTCGCTCTCTTCTTCCTCCTCCGATTCCTCTTCGGGTTCCTGCAGCTCGCCCCACAACGTTTTCTCAACGGGTTCGCCGACATGCTCAGGTTGATTCGGCTGAAGGACACCAAACACATCACCTCCGTAGAGGGGTCTGTTGTACTCATCAACCGGAGGCTTGCCATATCCGCCAGGGTGGAATCCCCACTGAGCCCCAGGGGGTGGCGGTGCGTTGAGACCCGGTATCTTCAGTGCAGGGTACGAGGGAGGCGGACCGAAACGCTGCATGTTAATCAGCCAAGGCGGAGGAGCGCCAGGCGGAATGTTCAGAGCCTCTTTCAGCTCCTCACTAAGCTCACCGGGACGCAAGTGCTTCAAGTTGGTCTCGTACTCCTTACCCTCGTAGTACACCTCACCATACCTGGTCAGCTCAGGCTTCGTCTGGAATCTGAAGAATGCCTCGTAGAGCTTTTGGTAGTCAATGTCAAGTTTGTTCAGCTTGCCCTGCACGCGCTCCCTCTGCTTCTGTTTCATCGTCTGTTGGTCTTGCTTCTCCAGAACAGCATCGCGCATCTCGGCGATACCAGTCTCTTGGATGAACTTGGGGAGGGCGAAGGGCGGCTTCTCGATACCGCGTTTCGACGAAAGGTACTCGCGCTTGAGCGACCAATGACTCGGGACGGGGACGACATTGCGGTGACCTTTGATGGCGACGAGTAACCGAGGGTCCGGTGAAGATGTGTCGGTCCAGTCGACGAGTTCAGGTTTCCTGACCAGGGCCTTCAGTTCTGCTACGGACAACTTGTTCAACTCCTTCTTCTTCTTCTTCGACAGCGGCTTCGGCTGATCGTCCTCCTCCTCCGGAACCTCATCATCGTCCCACATAACCTCGGGCTTCTGAGCTATCTGGCCATCACTCTTGTCCGCTTCCGACTCCTGGAACTTCTCAAGGACACCCTTGAACTGATCATAGAGTGGGTCGTCAGGGTTGATGTCATCTTGCATGACGGCAAGAGCTTGAGATGAAGGGGCATTGCTGTCGGGGGCGGGTTGAGCATCGTTATCGGGCGTGGTCTCGGCCTTGGGCTCTGCGGACGGCGCAATACCATTTTCGGCAGTGGCTGGTTGTACAGAAACTTCTCTAGATGTTGCGGCCTACTGCAGTTAGAAATTAAGGTGCCGATGTGGGGGTTGGTCATGGCAAAGCTCACCTCGGCCTTCTCCTTCTTCGCCTTCGCGCGGCGCCACGCGTTCTTCGCCGCCGCTTTACTCGCGCTGCCCGACATGCTGACTAGTCCCGACTTACGAACGCAGTCGTGCGGGCTGAGGAGCCAGAAAGGCGATGTAGGTGGAGGACGTGGATGCGGAAGGCGTGGATGAGGTTGTGCTGCCGCAAGGTCGAGGGCGGTCGCGAAGTGTTCGAGCTCCGCGCCAAGACTTGCATTTTACGGCGGCGGTCGGCTGCCATCGATGACCATCTGATAACGATAAGGACATCCACAACACACAACGGCCACTACAATGTCTTTAAACCTGTCCATCACCGTCTCTGGTGGACCATCGAATATAAGCTTTTTGATGCCCTAAACGGCTACTTGCAGCCAGCGTCTCAGCTGACTCCTGAGGATGTAGCTTCCGGAATCATGGAGCTGTTCCAAACAAACCTCAGGCAGAACGACAATGCAAGGATCCCTTTGGCGGACGTGGGGGCATTGTGTTCAGCGTCGTAGAGCAGGTCCCGTTCGACCATGCCTCCTAGGACCGGCTCGTTGCACTAACCGCGGCGCTACCTACGGAACGCGCCCACCCCGCCTTTCGCCGAGCTTAAGAGCATGGGGCATGCGTTAACGGAGAGATTGAACCGTAAGAGCTACCCCAAATATCCATCTTTTCTTTTTTCGAGATACCCCTTACCAAGCCGCTAGAGAGATCCGCCCAGATCCACCTGTCGCCTGCGCAAGAGAAGAAGATAGCCCTTCGAGGAACCTCAACGCGCTTGCTGCTCGTTTAACGCGCGGCGGGTTCTGCGTGCGTGTGCGCGCTGGATTTTTTGAAAGAAGCAGTTCGGAGATATTACCCAGCGCGAAGAACCGTGCGAGGATTGTGTGAAGGGTGAAGCGGGGTTTGCAGCGTGGAGGATGGTGAAGGTTGAGAGCAACGATACCACTCAGTACCCCACGCGGATCAACGTTTATTGCTATCGGCGCACATGAGAAATACCGAGATCTCACTCACTTGAGCAACGATGACTGGCAGGCCAACTACTGCCTCATGATAAGCACACGCTTACGACGGTCCAACTTCTGCACTCCGAAGCCGGTGGGCTAATCGACATTGCGAGCATGGCGAAATGCGACTGATAAGTTTCGAGAACGGCTTTGAAAGACACCTTGTTGCGGTATAAAGACGGCAGGCCGTACCTTACAGAAACCTGCATGGCCGAGGTGAAGAGATCTCCGATGCAAATATCGGACCATCCGTGCCACTTTGCTGCCACGTCAAGCCGTAAGCAACTGCAGAAGAGGGAACTAAAATTGACGAATGGAGGGGACTAGCTCCACGTGTTTGCAAGCGGTCCCTGGCCTGGCTTACCCTCGTTCATATCCTGCGCGCGGATTGGAGAATGGCAGTCTCAATGGCATGGCTGACAGCGATCGAAGCGCTTCACTCAGGAAGAGTATTCGCATCTACAAGTCAATCGAATGAGCGCAGCTTAAGAGTCCGCGTTTCGCATTTCCTCTCGGAGGTAGTGCGACTGGTACGGAGGGTCGCTGCAGGCGACTCTTAGCGCCGAGGCAGATCCTGTACTCCGTACCAGACAAAACTAAGTACATCACTGATCAAACATTCGACAGGCGGAAACTCCCGCCTCATTGGGTATGCAGATAAGCAATTCAATATTCGCATCTGGACAAGAGCCTTTCCCGTCCCGCTCGTCATTCTTGTTAAAGAGTATTCACGCTAATCATCGGCTGCAGTATGAACCTGAAGCAGACAGCTCTAGATGGCGGGGCTGCGTGGCAGCTTTGCCCCGACCCCGGCCTGATCAAGGGTTTTGTTGCAGCAACCAACAGCAAGCACCTCGTCACCGTACATCTCGAATCTAGACGCGCCCTGTGTTTGCAACGTGCGAGAAATTGACAGGTGCATTCAAGGGCCCTTCAGCCACGGCAGCCTAAGGCAGCGGTGTAATTTGCTGGACCGTTGGGCACGACAGCGCTGGTGCGCCCACCGTGCCTCGGAAAGATCCTGTCCTACACACCACGCACAACAATCGAAATTGGAGCAGCGCGTTCCAGCCTCTTCGAAAAGCGCCTGTCCCCGCCGGCTTTCCGAGTGTCGGAGTGAGTCACGCTGCTCGCGGGCGCAAAGGCGTTTGCAGATCCGCAAGCGGCCAGATGCGAAACCCACACTTTCCGTGTCCCGTGCTCGGCAAATCTCGAGATCGACCCGGACGGACGCACCACTGCGCGACCAGAGCAAAATCTCGCGGCTGGTAGGGCTGGCATGCTCTGCGGAGGCTAGAGATCACGAGCGCCTTCGAGCCGCATGATGCCAGGCCCGGCGCGAGTCGCGCAATTAGCTCTCGCACGCTTCGGACCGTCAACTCGTCAGCGGCTGGCGGGCTGGGCAGGTGCTCTTTGCGGAGATTGAGCAGCATGGTCACGTTCTCGAAGGCGTTGGCGGGGATCCCCATGCCCGGCGGTGCAACACGGCAGCCCAAAGCAGCCTCGCAGCTCCGGCCGTTTACTTATCGATAGAGAGAGGGGGGCGGTTGAAAGCCGCATGCCTAGCTGCATCGAGTCTAGCCAGGCACTTGTTTAAGAGGCGGTGAAAAGGCGTGGGAATCACGTTGTCTGCATTCTCCACGGATTGCTCTCTCCCAGACGCGCGGACGCGGTCAGCGGCGCCGTGCCCCAGCGGGAAGGTCTGTCGGGCGGGCTGGGCTGGTCGCCGACGCCTCGCGAATGGATCGCCCGCGGTCGCACAAAACATCACTCCTGTCTCGGTGATGCCAAGGGAGCGTCTCGACTGCGCTGGATTCGCAGAGGTCGGCAGCCCCGCAGCGGGCTTGATGGGCCCGAGGCGCAGAAGGCCGTGGCGAGTCAGTGGGCCTGACCGCTTTCCTTTGCTGTGGGCGACGGCTGTGATCGGAGCGAGGTCAGCGAGAGGACGCCGGCGTCGATCGAGCAGAGGCCATCCGCCGGTGACGTGAGCGCGCGTCGTTGGGGCGAGTGGGGAGGCGTTCTTGTGGCATGACGAGGGCGGCGGGCGCGCGGGCGGCCAGCGACATGGAGCGGCGGGCCCACGGTGTCGGCCTGCATCCGGAAGTCATAAGCATATCGTGCGGTGTCCGGAGGAGAGGCGGCTGGGATGCGCGTGCTGGGAGTCGCTGGCGCGGGCGAGATGGCGTGTTGTAGCAAATGGTGGACGGCGATTGGGGGCTGTGATGCGCTTTAGCGCTGGTCCCGATGACTGGGGGAGCGAACGTCGAGGGCCCCAGGGTCCCGGCTGGCGCTGGGCGGCGCAAGCTGCTGGCTCTCCCGACGACCATCTCAACTCGTGTCCGGCCTCCCAGCTCCCTCCAACAACCGTTCTTTACTGTGTACTTGTAAGATCGAGCCGCCACCGTCCGCCTGTACTATACCGACCAGCTGCCCTGCGCGCGTTGGGCCGACTGCGCTGTTCCCCGCGCCCCGACCAGCTGCTGCCCTAACCAGGCCACCGACTAGGCACTGTACTGTACAACCACCAAGCGGCTCTTCCAGCGCGGCTCCCGCAGTCCCTCGTGCGCCCCCCAGCGCAGTCGAAGCTCGCAAAGAACCCCCCGAGAGGGCTGCTGCCCCGTGTATCATTTTGCCTGTATGTCACCCCTCCCGCTGCTGTGCCGCTGCGCCGTCGCCCAGCCCGCTCCGCAGCCGCGAGGCCACGGCGCGCCGCAGGTACACCGCCAGCCGGCCCGGCCCAGCGCCCTCGCGAGGTGCCAGAGCTTGCGGATGCTGATGTCTGAGGAGTGCCGCAGGTAAAACACCATGGCCTTTTCCAACGGCCTGGGGGACCGCCCCGAGGACCGTCGCTTTCGCAGCCCGCAGTCCCCGCGCGAGGAGTCAACCTTCCCCAGCTTTACCTCGCCCATTCGCAGCATCGCCAGCCAGATGCAGGCCCACACATCCACGGCGAACGATGCCCGCGCCAGCCTGACGAGACGCTTCACGACAAATACGGTGCCCACGATGCCCACACTTTCCTCATTGTCGCCAATTGGCCAGCAGCGGCGACAGGCGGCCGAGAATACGGAGTTGACGACTGCGGTAAGCGATTTCCGGTTCCCTGCGAAGCGCGCCGTGTGTGACGTGTGATATTTCCCTGTCTTTGGAGCCCCCGACTTGTGAGACGGGGGGGCGATTAGATAAATGGATGCAGCCTCGCTGTCGTCGCTGCACCCCGCAGGCGGGTGGGCGGGCGTGGCGGCCGAGAGGCGGAGCTTCCAGTGGGCTGAGCAAACGATAGAGAGAACAATGGCGCTAACTGATTGGCAGACATACCACAAGGTGCAGCTGGTGAGTGAGAACATCTGGTTCCTTCCTATTGTCCATTGTCAGGTGGGGTGTCGTGCACGAGGGCACCTCCCGCACCGTCGCCTTCCTTAAATGCCTCCCCTCCACATCCCTCTCTGCCTCCGCCTCAACACCACATCCACATCCCCACTCCCAACTACCAGCCATCCTTTCCTCGACATCTTCACCTTTTGGCACGTTCTAGCATTGCGTTTCCTTTTCGGCCCTGCAGAAATATCTTGTTTGCGCTTCAGATCTTCTTCGCCTCAGCTCGCCTGCCAAGATCTTGTGGTGCATCTGCACTGCACGCCGGCTTGCCAAAAGATCTGCATTCGAGATATTCTACTGCATGTCATCCAATACGCCTCACCGTCGCAAAATGTCCACTCCGACCAAGGACAACGGCCTAGATCAGATCCAGCTCTCACCTTCTGATTCGGAGTCTACTGTCGCTGCAGACACCGCTTCAGATCAGAACGCTAACTTCCAGATCATCCAGTTGGAAAAGAAGAAGGCCGAGTACGAATATCTTAAAGAGCAACGCCGCCGTTTCGAGGCCGAGATGGAACTGTACGACATCCAGATCAAAGGCGTTCAAAACGACTTCAACCGCCTCTCACAGGACGTCGTTCATACCAACAACTACGCCGGCCACCAGAGCGAGCCCACCACGCCTCCCGAGTACCGTGATCAGGGCTTCCCGTCTGCCTTCTCACGTCCCCAGCGTTACTCGATGCAGAGCTTGACTTCCCCTCAGCACAGCTACCAGTCTGGCTCAACTCGTCCTAGTCGCTCGGGCTCCCAGATCACTTCTCCCGGCCAGAGCTTCACTCAGAGCAGCTCGCACATCCCGTCAAAGTCCATGCCTGGTTCCCGCCGTGGATCTGATGAGGAGGAGGACAACTACGAGTTCGACATCTCCAACATGAACCCCCGCTCTGGCGGCGCTGCGTAAGTTTTCTCTCCCTTTCTCACTTGCGTCTTGTGTCACTGCTTGGGCGTCACTTGGCAATTTCTGTCTTGACTCCGCTGGTCGCGCATGAGGTCCCAGCGCGCCGGATCCTAGCGAGCCCTTGCATGTCACCACGTCCCATACGTCAGGCCGCATTCCGGCGCGTTTGGCGCGTCCGTACAAGCGAACCTTAGCTAAGAGTTTTGAAGTCTCAATAGGAACTCGGTTCCTGTCACCGGCCTTGACTTCCGCCACCGTGCGACTACGGAGCTTCCGGACCTTCCCTCGGTTCTCGGCCACATTGACACTACCCACTTCCTCTTCGGTGACGACGACGAGAAGCCCAGGAACCCTGCTGCCTCGCCAGATGTCAAGAGCTATTTGCAGATGAACACAAAGGACGGCAAGTTCCCCATCTTGGTTCGTCACGGTGGTGGGGACAGGATGCAGCTCTCCGCTTCTTCTGCCGCTCTGGATCTTGCGTCCGTGTCCTCACACTCCCCTGATCCTCAGCCAAACGGCTGGCCGACCACTTCGCGTCACCGTCATGCTCAGCACAGCCTTCCGGTCAACAATCTGCACAAGTCTGATGAGTTCGGTCTCGATGGCTCTGGTGCCAATGGCGCCGAGACTCCCCGGCGCTCGACCATCAGCAACCGCCACTCAATGGAGGTGAGGTTCAGTCCGTACAACGACTCTAAGCGCCCTGGCCCGCTTGCGACTCCGCCTAACGGTTCTACCAACGGAATGCCCAAGCTTCAGTCGTCGTACTCGACGAATGACATCCCGACCATGAAGAACACCAACGGTCTCAACGGCACTCCTACCGGCGGCAACGGTGTCAACTCGCACGCCGAGCAGCACTTGCACCACCACAACGCTAGCATCGGTCGCATTCCCATGGCTGCAGTCAATCGCCACAGCCGTGAATTGTCTGGCGGCGAGAACAGGCTTGATGACCCCAAGGGCGCTGCCGCTTTCCGTTCCATGGGGTCTGCTCTTCAGGCTAACGCTGCGCCCTTCGGACCTGCTCTTAGCAACGGAACCAACGGTGTCACCACGAACGGCACCACGCCGGCTGGAGTATCTTCGCCTACTGCGACCACCATTCCGTCATCCAACGGCACTGGCATCACCAGTCCTCCGATGTACGGCAACCCGAACGCTCCATACTATGGTGGTTACGGCATGGCGATGCTCAACGTGGGCATGCAGAACATGGGCCCCAACGGTCAGGCTCCCTACAACCAGCTTCAGATGTATCCTCCGTTCAACCCATATGGCCAGGCTTTCCAACAGCCTTTCACTCAACAGGCTCCTGCTCAGCCTCGGTTCCCTGACAGCCAGGCCCGTGTAATCCAACAGCGCCGTATGCAGAACCAGGAGGAGCACATGCGCACCACGACAAACTACAACTTCGACTCTCTCATGCCTCATGACATTGTCGAGCTGTGCAAGGATCAGCACGGTTGCCGCTACCTTCAGAAGCAGATTGAGGGCCGCAACTTGGACATCGTCAAGAAGATCTTCGAGGCCACCAAGGATCATGTCGTCGACCTGATGCAGGACCCGTTCGCCAATTACCTTTGCCAGAAGATGTACGAGTTCTGCAATGATGAACAGCGCACCGCCCTTGTCCGGAACGCGGCCCCTCAAATGGTAAAGATTGCCTTGAACCAGCACGGTACCAGGGCTCTCCAGAAGATGATCGAGTACGTCTCTACTGCCGAACAGATCAGTATCATTATCGAGGCTCTGCGTCACAACGTCGTCACACTCATCCAGGATCTCAATGGCAACCATGTTATCCAGAAGTGCCTGAACCACCTCGGTTCCAAAGACTCTCAGTTCATTTTCGAGGCTGTCGGCAGGTCTTGTGTCGTTGTCGGTACCCATCGCCATGGCTGCTGCGTTCTCCAGCGTTGCATTGACCACGCTTCTGGCGATCAGAGGATTGCATTGATTGGCTCCATCACTGCGAACGCCTTCTCTCTGGTTCAGGATCCCTTCGGCAACTATGTCGTCCAGTATATCCTCGATCTTCAGGAGGAACAGTTTACGGTTCCCTTGTGCCATAGCTTCGGTAGAAGCGTTCCGATGCTGTCGAAGCAAAAATTCAGCTCCAACGTCATTGAGAAATGCATTCGCGTTTCTCCCGCCGAGGCTAAGCGCACCTTGATCGAGGAGCTCCTCGTTCCTGGTGAGCTTGAGAAGCTGATCCGCGATTCCTACGCCAACTACGTTGTTCAGACGGCTCTTGACTATGCCGACGCCCCTACCAAGATCCGCCTGGTCGAGGCCATACGTCCTATGCTCAACGCCATCCGCGCTACTCCCTACGGCCGTCGTATCATGAGCAAGATCCAGGACTTTGACGGTCGCATGAGCACTAACTCAAGCGGCCAGATCACGCCAACTGCCGCCACTGGTCCCGGACAGATCGCATTCCCTGGTCAGCTCAACGTCACTCCCCAGCAGGGTGCTTACAGCAACATTGCCAATGGCTACGGCAGCAGCCTTGCTTCCCCTCAGCCGCACCGCTTGTCCAACCCCCAGGTTCCGAACAATCTTCAGAACAATGTACAGCAGAGCATGAACCCTTACAACGGCTCTCCTTTCCGCGGCGGACCGACCCAGCAGAACGACGGTTCTCCCTTCCGCGGTGGACCGAACCAACATAACGGCGATTCTCCCTTCCGTGGCCCGAACCAGCAGAACGGCGGTTTCTTTTAGACACCCCCAGTCTGGAGAACGATGCTCCATTCTTGCGGTTCTGGCTTCTTTTCCTTCATGACTTGATGATTTTCACGACGGACTGATAACAATGACCGGAGAAACTTGCGAGCTTCGACGAGTGCATCCTTGTCTGCCGGTTTCGGGACGAAGGATTTCCGACGAAAAAAGCAATATGATCCGGAGCCGGCCTCTTGACACAAGAGTCTTACTTCTTTTGACACTCATACGCCATCAAAGTTCACCATCAGGCATCACGAACCGCCATAGGGCCAACCCACCTCGGCAAAATAAAATAAAATGGTAGAACAAGAACCAGGCTGTTGCCACGACTCGCAACAATCCTCTTTTCCACAAAAAAAAAAAAGAAAAAGCGGCTCCTTTGAGAGGTCTGATAGTCTTACTCGTGTTGGACCATGTGGATCTCTTTGTACAACAGTTGGACATTAGGAAGACCGTTCTGGCTACTTTTCTCGGTCGACGGACATCGAAGAAGAACCAAAAAAGGACCATCACCTTCTCTACGGCATCCTTGATGTCTAAGGCTTTTTTCCTTGACTGAGAAACTTGGCTTTGATGGGAGGCTTGATCTGGAGAAGAACATTCCGACTTCTGCTTTCCCGCTAGGTCACAAGGTGCAGCCCTGCATAGCCTGGGGCGTTTTACTCAACATTTCAGTCTTCTGCTTCTTTCAACTGCACACAGTTTGGGCGAGAGCCGTACGCCTTAAAAACAGCTTTCTTCTTCCACCACTGCATAAACAGTATTCGGTTTTCTCCCCCGTCATCACCTCCCCCCCTCTTAGCTTTGCGTGCAGCGTCATCATCACCATCATCACCTCCAATTCTTTCTTCCAGTAGGCGGGTTTGAGAAGAGCCTTTTTTTTTCCTTTTAATTTCTGCTTTGTGTGACATTTCAGGCGAGCTGGTATGGAGGCATCAGTGATTCCCCGGGTTCTTGATCTGATTTTTGGGTCCATTTTCTTTCGAGCTTTTGGTTTCTGGAGATGACAGATCATTCCAACCTCTTGATCGGATTTGACATCTTCCCCCTTTTCCTTGAAGTTGGTCTGAGAGTTTCCCCCCCGCCATCTCCTTCTGCTCACACGCTCACCCATTCGTCTACTTTCCTATCATATTGGAAACGTGGATGTTGAAGATGGAGGCAAGGAGAAGAGGACTTGTTACTCTCGGCGATTTTTCGAGAGAAAAATTTTCCTTACGTAGGGAAACAGAGACGACTTTTTTTTTTTCTCGGACACCAGCTTTTCCTCACGATTGCTTCCCCTTCCGGGTCTTGGGTGTACATCTCTTTTCTGTTTTTTTGATGTCGATGGCTGGTCCCTTGAATTGGTGTGGCATGGCTTGCGAGATTGTGTGTGTTGCGTGCGTGTGAGTCTGTGTGAAGAGTGCATCTGTGTGTCTGCGCTGTGCGCTTGTATGTGATGAACAGGTTGGAAATGAATGAACAACGATTTGGCATAGGTGGTGGTGGTGGTGGTGGTGGTGGTGGGAGTCAATCGCATGGGAGGAGGGTTCGAGCGAGCGAGCGAGAGAAAGAGAGATTAGAGATATCTCGGCTGCTTTTTACTTTTATCCCACTCCATTTTCTTTTCTTTGCTTTCTTTCCTGTGTTGAGGTTTCACGAACCTCCCTTTTCTGGGTTGATATATGTGTATGCACTTGTGTGTGATTTGGCATATTTATTTGTATATGTGCTAAGAATTCAGTATTGTATGAGCAAAACAAAAGGAAAGAAAAAACTTTCTCTTGAAAGTTTTTTCTTTCCGGCGCGTTGTGTATATATGTCTTGCAAGCCTACGGATCCGCCATCCCATGTGCGCTTTTAGTGTTTTGTTCTCTTACATGCCAACAACACCGACGTGAGAATGGAAATCCCTTTCTATTCTTCTTCTTCTTCTACTACTACTTCTACGTCTGATAGGTATTCCCAGCCTCTTCGTTGCGACGGACCGTTGCTCTTCCTTCTTCCCCCGACCGCCAGCCCGCCGGGTGATCAGCGCACGCAATAGCCAACTGTCTTTATGCGAGCGGGTAAGCATCATCCCTTGGCAAGAGTATCGGTTCGCCGGGATCGGTTGCTTTTTCCTTCTTCTTTCTTTTGGTTTACTGTTTTCGCGAAAAGCCTTGGGGGCCGGTGCGAAGGGTTGTGTTTCGTACATCACCCACTCACCCACCCACACCCCATATCGCGCTGATCGCTTCTCCGGGTAGATTGGGTCTGGGGAGGGGCGAAGCTCTTCATGCTGGCTACTGCTTGTTGCTTGTTCGTTCTTGGCTTTGTATCAGCCCTGTGTCGCTGCTGCTTTAGCCGGGGCAAGGTAGGGATGTCTGGGTAGATCCACATCGTTTCTTGCATGCACTTTTGTGGAGGGGGTCAAGGGGAGGGGTGTTTTAAGGCGTGCACGTGGGATTTGCGGCCTTGTGGAGAACAACGAAAACGGCAGGGAACATCATGATTTGCGTTGCTTGGCTAGCAGACCTTATGTGTACGTTTGGGTTTTGGTGTTTCTTGGTGGGGGGTCACATGTAGGGAATGTTAGCTAGACCTAGATATGAAGGTTGAATGTAGCTCAAGGAGCATGATGAGAGCGGATTAGGGAGTCAGGCTGGCTCGATTTTGGCGTGCGGCGAGCAGAGCCATGTTGGCGATGCCTGCAATGTTGTGGATGGGAGGGGATTGTTGCAAATGCTGGTTGAATGCGAGAGCTCAAGCTACGGGCTCGCTCTCCCATGTCGTGATTAGTAGCAATGCCTCCGACCAACAAGGGCCACAACCCTCTTCTAAAAAGTCAGATACGAAAGCCGATGCTTCGGCCGCTGATACAGACTCCAGGCACCGTGTCCCACACACGGCCAGGAGGATCCCCATGGCCAGCCAGGCGTGAGGCTTGAAGGCATGAACAGCGCATTTCGGTAGTGGTTCACACACGAACCAAGCCAGCCGCCCCGCACTGCAGAGGGAAGCCAAGGCCGAAGGATGGCTGTTTTTAGCGCCGAGAAGTCCGAAAGCAGGCTCGGATCTCGCTTCGCGGCGGTTCGCGAAGAAACGAGAAAGGGAGCAGCGAGATTGGCCGGCCCCATCCATATACAGGTCTCCATTAAAGAAGCATAGAAGAGGCGTGGACATGTGGGAACCACGGAGCGAACGGCATTGCGTTGGTGGCGTTCTCCTATTTCCGAATGGAAAGAAGGAACAAACAAGCCTTCCGGCGGAACGGGGCATCAAGTGGGCGAACAATTAGGGGAGACTGGACGGCTTGACTCGGAGCCAACGACGGCCGAATAGAAGGGTGTTCTCCATATCGGAAACTGGCTATTACGAATGGGCCAGGCCGCATAGGATGGCTGCAATGGGGAGCGATATGACACAAGGGGCCGTTGAGGCGGTGGCAGCGGCTGGCACGCGCCGCCCATTGGTGCGAAAACCGACGGCCGGCAGCTTCCTGCCGGCTGGCCTCTGTTTTCTCGGCGGCTGAAGCGAGGACAGGTACAGGCGTCGGGCCGGGCGCTGGCTTGGGATGCAGTACCTAGCGCTCGGTTCCTGGCGCGCGCGGCTGCAACCACGCATGGCGCATTTCTAGGAAGTGCCGCTTCGTATGCGCTGCGCTACGGAGGCTGCCGGCGTGGACTTGGCGGGGAAGCATCAGGCAAGCAGCACATCGAAGCTTGGCCTGGTGGAGGTGCAGCTAGAGGCAACGAGGTCCGAAGATTCGGGCGGTGGGCTGCGCAGCCGGCTTGGGCCGAGAGCGAGGGTGGATGGAAACAGGTCGCTCTGGCTGGCTGGATGCTGGCGTCAGATAGATTGAGCGGGCTGACGCAGGGCGGCGTTGGTGGGGATCGCGTTCTGGCGGCGTTTCATGCTCGGCCTCAGGCGTCGGTTATGCGACGATGTTTGCCACGCGAAGGGGCCGAATCGCCGCCTGTGCGGAGTGCGGCGGGAGCGCAGTAAGGGGCGGGAGGGCTGGACGCAAAGCTTGGCCTCTGGCAGCAGTGCGCCTCCATTGTGCTCACGGCCATGCCCAGGGGACCGGCCTGGGGGGCATCACGAAGCGGTGCTGGAAAGAGAGAGAGGTGCGAGGTGCGAGGTGCGAGCCAGCGCGCGCAACTGCCGGGCCCCGCATGCCCCAGTTGGGAAAGCCAAGCGAGCAGGGCGCGGTTGCCAAAACGGCGGGACTGCGCGCGAGCCTCGATCCAAACACCTCCTCAAATCTCGCCAATGCATCAGCTCCCCCTGCCCGCCATGCCTGCGTCCATCACCCAGCACGCTCTGCCGCAACGGGCTATTCTCCGTGGCCGAGCCCACTCCCGATTGCTCTCCGCCGCTCCTACGTCCCGTTGCTCTCACCACCCGCTCGCTTCTGCCCTGCCATGAAACGCCAGAGCACCAGCACTGCTCCCGCCGTGCTCATCTCCGCGCCCTACAGGCTCCGCAGTCACCGGCCGAAGCTCTATCCTGCCATGTAGTCGCCTGTATATAGCTGAGGCTCTGTCCGCAATACCATCGCTTTCTCCTCCACCAAGACACACTCCTTCTCCGTCTACGTCCATTCTTTCACCGGTCTCCGACCTCACACGTTCTTTCCTCAAGATCATTCTTCACTGCGTGAAGCTGGGATCTTCTTTACCGCTTTGATAGCCGGCCATCTCTTCATTCAGCCAACCAACCACCAATCCTTTCCACTCCAATCAACATGTCTGCCATGTTCAAGAACGCCGGCATCATCGGCGCCCTCGCCGCCACCGCCGCTGCCCACGGTACCGTTTCGGGCATCGTCATCGATGGCAAATACACCCAGAACTACAACCCGTCGATGCAGTACCAGAGCCCTGCTCCCGTCGTCATTGGCTGGGCCATCCCCGAAGATCTCGACAACGGCTTCGTCGCCCCCTCGGCCTACGCTGATGCCGACATCATCTGCCACAAGGGTGCCACCAACGCCCAGACCAGCGCCGACGTCAAGGCTGGTGAGGACATCACCATCCAGTGGACCACCTGGCCCGACTCGCACAAGGGCCCCGTCATCTCCTACCTCGCCAACTGCGGTGATGACTGCACCACCGTCGACAAGGCCACCCTTGAGTTCGTCAAGATCGACGCCGGCGGTCTCGATGTCGACAGCCAGACCTGGGCCGCCACCGACATGATCGCCAACAACAACTCCTGGGTCACCACCATCCCCTCGAGCATCGCCGCCGGCAACTACGTCCTGCGCCACGAGATCATCGCCCTCCACGGCGCCGGCTCCACCGACGGTGCCCAGAACTACCCCCAGTGCATGAACCTCGTCATCAGCGGTGACGGCACCGACGACCTCAGCACCGGCGGCACCAAGGGTACTGCTCTCTACAAGGAGGACGACCCGGGCATCCTCCTCAACATCTACCAGACCCTCTCCACCTACGAGATCCCGGGTCCCACGCTCTACTCGGGCGCCTCTTCGGGCTCCGCCACCGCCGCCGCCGGCGGCGCCTCGTCCGCGGCCGCCTCCACCCCGGCTGCCACCTCGGCCGTTGCCAGCAGCACCTCGGTCGCCGCCGCTGCCGCTACCCCCACCACCCTGACCACCGCCGTCGCCGCCGCCCAGGCCTCGACCACCGCCCCCGCCGACCTGACGGCCGCCATCCCCAGCTCCGCCCTGACGGTCGCGGCCACGGCCATCCCCACGGCCAGCGGCGTCGCCACCCCCGAGACGGCCATGCCCGACAACTTCACCGTCAAGGACGTCCTTCAGTGGTTCTCGTACGTCATGGAGACCTACTTCACCAAGGAGTCGACCTCCACCAAGGCCCGCCGCCACGCTCGCCAGTTCTAAGCGTGTCGCGTGTCTCTGAGGGAGAAGAGAGAGAGAGGATGTTACTGCTTCTGATTTGATTGGAAATTTGGCTGAATGATGTCTCCCTAATGAGATGTTTCTGCTGTTTCTGCTTTTTTGTTGAAAACTTCTGTTGTATAAATAAAGCGACTTATTTTGTTCTTTGGGTGTTTGTTGTTGTCTTGGAGATGACAAGATTTTTGGTAGACTCGAGGAGAAGGAGACAAAAAAACACACTAAGCAAAATCTTCGAGCAAATGTAGTATGTCTGACAATATGCATGTGTTGGATGATTCACCTGAAGATTCTTGTGCTTTCTTGCGTGATAACTCAATCGGTGAAGCCCCCGTCTATAAGCCCAATTTCCTGATTCATGACTCCAGGGAGAATAGCTGAATATCTACATCGCCTTTGAAGGGATGGCGAGGCACCATGCAAGACTTTCTTTCCGGCTGCCTTGCCTGCAGAATGACAAGCCTCGCATGACGACAGCCCCGTTACACCGACCGCAAATGTACACTGTTTCAGGCGCGCTGCGTCGGAAGTCATCTCTCGAACCCAAGTCTTTTTTTTTCCCTTCCCATGCATGCTCATTGGCGGAACATGTACACGTGCATACGCGCGCCCTTCCCCCCCACCCCCAAGGAGCAGCGTCATCGGAGTGAGCGAGGCGAGCAGGGGTGGTGGATGAAGGGAGGGAGGGGTTTAATATATCTGCTGCGATTGTGTTATCGGAGGGCGTGGGGGTGTGCGTTGACGCGTACACGCATATGTACATACAAAGACGTACGTAGGCGGCGCGGCCCGGGCGCCTAATGGTGATGATGAGGCGTGCTGTGTGCTGTGTGCTGTGCTGTGCTGCTAGGTATGCTGTACCGGCGCACTCTTCCAGGTAGGTGATTGGTGGTTGGCGTGATTAGGCGACGATGACGATGATGATTGGTGCCCATTGAGGGCCTGAGGGGCTGCCGCAGGGGCAGTGCGGGCGTGACTCGCCGGCTAGCTTTCGTCGTTGATGCTGCTGCTGCTGCGGCTCGACGTCGGTAAGTAAGTATGACTGACTCGGTGCTGGTCCTTTTAGGGGGTTGGTTCTTGAGTGGAAATCCATGAGCGGACGAAGCCCGGATTAAAACGGGAGCCGCCGTCGATAGTAGTCGGCTATAGAAGGCCAGATCCAAACAATGATCAGCCGGTAGCACACTGATAAGCTTAGTAGAGATTGTTTTGGCGCTTGATGCTTTTCCCGGCGGGTGATGGCGGCTGGACACGGGGCATGCGGGCGCACGTGCGTGCAAAGGTTATCACGGGAAGATTGGATATGCACGAGCATAGGAAACAGAGATACCAAGTGACCCGCTGACTGCAGGGAATGAGCACTTCAACGGTGGGCTTGTGGATTATAAAATGCGGGCAGTGGGATCATTGGCAGCGTTGTAGACTGTTCTGTGCTTTCACCACAGCCTCATCCGTGCACAAGCTGATCGGGAAATTATGGCATCCTGTGCACTTTCTCTGCGTTCCTTGCTTTCCGTTTTGTACCGCAGGATCAAGAATGCCGCTCCGCCTCTTCGTGCGAAAGCAGACAGTATAGCTGATGCGCACCAGAAACGGCCGGAAATAATGGTGAGCTACACAGAAAATGATGCGGGTGATGATCCTTATAAATGGCTCTTGGGGGCTTTGAGATGCCTGTAAGCCTCTATGCTGTACTACGTTATGTAAAAGTTGTTGGTTCAACAAATATGGTCAACTGATGGCGGGACTGGGAGTGTGAAATGAAGTAGACCTCGGGTAAGCGTATTTCTGATTCTACTGGATTAAAACATCAGTGAATCACTAGCAACGCATAGATAGGTGATGCGCATGTGGCGTCGAAGCGTTGCCCTTGGGCTCACCTAAACGATTTGGTTTAGCACCAAATTCCTCCACATTGGCACTTTAGAGCTGCACACGCAATAATTTAAGCACAGCATCATCTTGTCCTTCACCAACGTCTTTCTTGTAAGGCGAGAACAAATTCGGTTGCCTGTTCCGCGGACGACTGCACACAGCGTAGTCGTTTCGGAAACAAATGTGTTTATGCGTTTTCTCGGTGTTCAGCATCACACCGGCGTAAGGAAGGATCTTTCCGCAATCCGCATCCGCGGTATTCGCTTTCTCAGTCAGTGCCTAGTCGCGTGTAGCTTCTTGGCGCGCCAGTGGCAGACAGACGTCGAATGAGGCTCGTTTCTTTGCGGACTTTTGAACTAGTGTTTTATTTTGGGCGTTGGCACTAAATGTTCGTACGCGCGATGCAGCCGGGCCTCATTCCGCGGCCGTGGTCCGCGCCGGTCCGCTACGCATGGCGATGACGCCGGCGCCGGTGATCTCTACCTCCGAGTGCTGATCGATGGCCGGTATGACAACGTGCTCGGCGATGGAGATCTGACCGAGTTGGACGGCCTAGGGTTCGGGGTTGAAAGCGGCGTCGTCAAGGCAGTTGGAAAAGAGGGGGTCGAGAAGCAGCGAAGCACTTGCTGCGACATCTGCTATGGGCGGTGGGATCACATGGATGACCAAAGATGATGTGGAACGTGTGGTGCCAGACCAGGTTCCTGCGGGAGGAGATGAGGTGGAGGAGACGTGTAAGGAACCCTGCGCGTTGCCTTGTGGGCACTTCCTTGGTAAGCCGTGCTTGATGAAGTGGTTGAACGCGAAAGCCTCGTGTCTTCTCATGTGTAGGAAGAGCGTGGGCGATTATGGGGAGCTGAGGCATGGCTAAGCGGCCGGCGCAAAAATGGATAGGTAGCGAGCGTTTGTGGTCTCGAACAAACCAAGTGGTGATTGAAATGACTGTAATGATGGCGGCTACGATGGCCATCCAATGTGCGTGGTCAATTGATTTTTCGAGCATTCAATTGTGTCACCTCAAGAGTGAAACTATTCCTACCCAGATCAGCAGAAGACCGGAGAGTAGGACGTCGAGTATTGATCTTAGTCACGTTCGGTGTAAACACTGCGTCACTGGCATGACTGGCGCGCCAGCCAGCTGATATCTCGAGCGGCAGGTGACTTTAACGCTCGTCTTTAAGTGTATTTTAGTAAACTACGACTCCGAAATTCAGCGTTGTTCTTCAGCTAAACTCGCAAGAGTAGCTGATGGTTCAATGGTTATCATTGAGAGTAAAGCGGCACTAGGTTGTCACTCGCAGCGGACTTTGCTCGTGCTTCGCGTGCTCTGGCGGACACTCGACACCTACTGCTGTCTACCGCATGCCTGCATGCACCAAACGAGGAATACGCACTTGAGCATGATCGAATATTGGTGAGCTTCATCACCATCGGCAACAACAGCCGACGCCCATCGTTCTTCGCATACGACCTGACCACCCAGTCTGTCAAACCACGCCCCGCCAGCTCAGCAGCAAAAAAGACACAGCCTCTCAGCGGAAACCCACATGTCGTCACCACAACCACCACGTGCCTGAGCCGCAGCTGGCCACTCCTCCCTCACCCCTTCCGAAGATAAAGAGAAAATGGACCTTTCCGCCCTTCCGAGATCCACTCCCCATCTATTACCGAGCAGAGCGCAAATGCGCCTCCTTGCTAGAGACCGGGCTGTTATTGTACTCTCGCTCGGCCACTGCCTTTCTCACCTCATCATGATCTCCTCTCACTCGGTCCCTCTACACATATGACCTTACCGCAGTAAAAAAATATCGCATTAGGTAGATCGCTCAGCATCACCTTCGCCCCTCCCTCCACATCAGCATCGCCACCACCAACCATCATCACCACCACCAACACATCATCATACTACCCAGCACCAACACACGAAACTTCCCTCTTCTCACGACGACAAACGCCGCACCGACCATCACCCATACGCATGACTTACACCCGAACCCCTCGTCTTGCCCCTCGCACACCCACGTCCCACACACCCAGACCAAACGCACAAGTGAGTTCTTCAGCGTCTAACCGTGAACAAAGATCTCGCCCTATCTGCAATGAGAAACATACATCACAACGAGAAGCACTCTTTTTCTTTATAAACAACCGGTAGTCACCATTGATTAAACCCGTGCTATCTACCGCAGCATCTGCCTTGGTCATCTGCCTTGGTCATCTGCCCCACACCCCACTGCCCACGTGTGTGTGTCATCATCGTTCTGGACGAGGAGAAGGAAGGAAATAAAAGAAAAGAGAAAAAAAAAAAGAAGTACTTTTTTGTTTGCAGGTGATGAGACGGACCTCTACGCCGGGCCTTTTCGATAAGAGGGAAGAAAAGCAAGGAGCAGAGGTGGGAGTGAGGCAAGCGCGGTAGGGGTAGGAATTTAAAGAGACGTCAGTGCCGCCGAAGAAGAAGAAGGGGAAGAAGAAAAAGAAGAAAAAGAAGAAAAAGAAAGGCACCATGGTGAGTATACTGTCTAGGCAAAAAATGCTTTGCCAAATCCACATCCATGATCCCACATTCGAGGCCGATCCACCCACACCGCACATGCATGCACATTCAATGGGGGAAAAGAAGAGCGAGTGTAGTTAACCAAAGACCGTTCCTCCTTGTTACCTATGACGGACTCAAAACCGCCAGATAGCCCCATAGAAGGAATGTATGTACTCCTGCGCTGCTTAGCAACCGCATTCTCAGCGGCGGCTAGAGCAACGAGAAGACAAACCCGGCCAGCGTCCACCATGGTGCTCAGACCCACGATTCAAAACTCTGATGCCTCCCCTCTCTTCACCAAAATGGCAAGCATGACGTGGGCAGTGGCTGCTATGAACACGATAAAAAACAGCAAGAGGTGAAAAAAAGCAAGTATCGCAATTGTGAGCATCGCATCGCTTCAGTGTATCCATGTACCGATCAAAAAGACCTTGACTATCCGTCCACGCTTCAAAACGCTCCCATGTTTTTTTGTCCATACCGTAAGTGAACGCGTCTGGTCATGACGAAAAAGAGAGGGAAGGAGACTCGTATAGGGCCACGGTGCTATCTAACAATGGATACCCCGCTCGAATGTGCAGAAGCCGTGAGGGAGCTGATTAAGGAAATCATCGAAGGGCAAGAAAGTCAAAACAATTTAGTAGTGGTAAACCCGTGCCTACCCTAAAGGGAGACACTGGTGAATGGCAGCGGCTAAAGAGCATGTTTCAGCATCTTTAGGTGCGCGTAGCCACCAGGCGGTAGGCCGTGTCTACCTTGTGAGAAAATCACTTTGGGTAGACGCAGCCTTGACCTCCATTGGAGCAATCGTCGCTCGGTCGCTTTGTACAGCGGTAGAGGCAATGACGAGAAGCTCAGGTCGAGGCGTTCTTCAATTCCTGGGCCCGGCGGGAGAGCATCGAGATTCTCCTGAGCACGGGATCTCCAGGGTTCTTCTCGGCAATCTGCATGTACGCAGCTTGGAGACGAGAGGATAGAACGTCCATGATCTTCGGCGCAACTTCCTTGATATCGACATCGGTAGGGTCGATAGAAGCGAAGACAGAATCAAGCCACATCAGACGCTCGGCCGTGTTGGTCTCCAATGAAGAGCTCACAGCAGCGGATACGCTCAGGGCCACGAGGGGGGTCAGGCTTCGGATGTAAGCTGGGTTGCATCTGACAAACAAGTTGTCGAAAAGCTGGGTTTGGCGAGGCGATTGAAGCCACTACGATAAGTTAGCACATGGCAGTTTCTGGGTCTGCGAAAAAAAAAAAAAGTAGCACCCACCATGATTGTGCCCTCCTCATATTGGCCCTCGGACATCAGGCGCGTGATCTGTTCCTGCTCCAGCTCACCCTCGCTCTTCTTGACGCTGGAAGCAACAGACTGGGCAGTCGATGGAGCCTTAGCGGATTCCTCGCTACGGACGACATGCTTCTGGAGCTTCAGAATCTCATCCTGGAAGCTAGCTTGAGATGCGGACATGCTGGCAACAGTCTCGCTGAGACCAGTCACCAAGTTGGTGAGCTGATCGATCTTTGCGGCATCACGCTGGCGCTGCAACTCGGCTTGGCGGACCTGTTCGGCCATACGACGCTCCATGTCCGCGGCCATCTGCTGCACAGCATTGACGGTGATGTTCTGAACCGATGAACCAATCGTGTTACGAAGGACATGCCCCAGTTGCTGGTCAATGTGCGAAGTCGTCTTGTTGGCGACCAATTCGGAGATGTGGCGCATAGTCTCGGGATCCTTGAAAGCCAAGTTGACAGCATGAGGAAGCGTCTGTTTGACCTCACGAGGGACAGAGGACTGGACCGAGGTAGCAAGGATCTCAGTAAGACGGCGCTCGATCGTGGCAGCAACAAGATCACTCAACGAAGGAAGGATGATCTTCTGGAGGTTCTGAGTCACGATGCGCGACATGCTCTTCTCGACATTCTCGGTCAAGGTGCTGGACACCAAGCGCAGTACGGCATCCATCTTGGCGGCACCAGCGGCTTCCTGGGCGCGGCTGTCATTGTCAAGGCGGCGGTAAAGGGACTCCAGCTCCTTGGTGAAAGTCCTGTTGAACTCAGTAGACACGTTCGTCTCCAAAGCTTTCAACGATTCGGTGTCGATGTTAGCGCTAGCGGACGAAGCAGCATTGGGAGCCTGCAGCTGACCGAGGAGGCGAGTGGCCCACTCAGGAATTTCAGACTCGGGGCCCTTCTTCTCCTCAACGGCCTTCACAGGCTCAGGCGGAGGCGTCTTCGCACGCTGGGCAACATTGGCGTACGAAACTGTCGAGGGAGCTGCGGATGCAGGCTTGGCAGCGGTGGAAACCTGAGAAGCCGCGTCGGTAGCCGTGGCGGCACCCTTCTTCTTCTTTTTCTTTTCAGGCTTCTCGCTACCGTTGATGATAGCCGCTCTGGCTGCGTCCTGCTGGTTCTCAACTCTCTCGAGCGTCGAAGCAATCATGGACGCAGTGTCAGGCGCCTGAGAAGTGGCGCGAGATCTGCTGCTAGCCGGCTCCTTCTTGACGACCTCCCTAGGAACAGGACGCGAGCGGCTGCTCTGCGTGCTCTGTTGTGCCTCGCCATTGGCCGAAGACTCAGTAGTGCTGGTTCCTTCAGCCAATGCCAAAAGGCGGATGGGATTGATGATGATACTGCCGTTGGCCTCCGCGTCAATGGGATGAAGCACCTTGCTTTCCTTGCTCCAGCCAAGGTCCTCCTTCCGGATGCCGAGGCAGGTCACGCCCTTGGAGTGCATGACATAAAGCTCGAAGAGCGGTGCCTCATCAGGAGCGAAGCTTTCGGGAGAGGCGGCAGGCTCCTGCAGCATTTCCAAGCTGCGCAGCTGACCCTTCGATGCGAACGAGTATTCGCGGATACCACTCATGATGGCAGTGGACTCAGGCCTGGGGAGCTCGGCATCCTTCTCCACAAGACGGGTGAGGAACTTGGCCTGCGACATGGCGGGCAGATTATACCTGGGAGCGGACAGGTGGATGAAGTAGATGGAGTTCCTAGTCGGGTGCCCAACGGCCAGGATGCCCGTCTTCGGGTGGTAAGCAACGCTGCAAATGGCGTCGGATTCGTTCTCGTGCGGGAAGTTGATCTCCTGGACAGGCTTCTGAAGTCCAATGTCCCACAACTGGAGGGTGTGGTTCTGCTTCAGGCCAACGACAAGATACCTCAAAGCAATCCCCTTGGCGCAAGGGCGCTCCTTGTCCAAGAAAAGGACAGAAGTGGGCCAAGACTTGTCGCCGGCAGCAACAGTGCTGAGCTGCATGATGGGAGTGCGTACTTCCTTGGGAGAAATACGTCCCGTGTTGGGACCAGTTCCCTCAGTGATCAAATCGCGAATATCCCAGAACCTCAGCCTTCCAGCCTTGTCCAGGGAAGCGATGACAGTGTCATCTTCGCTGAAAGCGAAATCCTTGCCAGCCTTGCCCGTCACAATCCTCAAGCAACGGTGCTGAAGGTATTTCTCGCTGTCGCAGACTCGGGTCTTCACATCAGTGTACTCGGCTTGGCGAGCAGCGTGGGGCCAAACGAGGTATATGGACTTGCCACGCCCGATACCGAAGAACTCCGGGTGACGGGAACTCTTCTTGGCACGAGTCTTGAGCTGGCCGCCGGAAGTGTTGTCATCTTGAGCGGGAACAGGAGGGAAGCTGAAGCCCTGATCCTCCAAGTTTTCCTCGCCGTAAGTGTCGCTGTGACCGGCAACAGTAGTCCAGAAGACCGAACCGTCGACGCCAGTAGCGAGAATAGTCTCAGCGTCATATGACGCAACAGGCGGACCGGTGCAGATCTGCAAATTGAAAATACGCTCCTTGGTCGTGTTGAAGACCTGCTTGTACTTGCCTGTGTCCTGGCGAATCAGGCGGAAGCCTCCATGCTTAGACAGGGCATAAGCAATGAAAGTCTTGGACACGGTGACTAGGTTGCGGTCGATCTGGTCGAAGTCCTTCTTCAGGCGAGCGATGTCCATGATGTTGTCCTGACGGATAGGCAGCGGAGGCTCCCTGAGCTTCTTGAGCTCAATGGAGACAAAGGGCCGCATGGGGAAGTTGAAGACATTGACGGTATTGTCGTCCTTTCCAGGACTGTCCTCGGCGCTCTCCCAGCTGTCGGCAACCTTCTCCTGGGCCACGTCCTCAACGACATCCTCAATGGCCTTGGCCAGCTCCTTGGGCATGCTCTCTTCAAACTCGCGACGCGTTTCCTTGTCCTCGAGCTGCTCCTTGGCATCCATGGCAACGTCGTGGACGGCCGTGGCCAGATCCTTCTGATCGAAGGTCTCCTCAGCCGCTTGGTTGCCATTGGCACCCTTGTTGTGCTTGTCCACGCCGGCGAGAGCTTCCTCCACCTGCTTATCAACGGCCTGACCGACCTCGGCAACGGCTTCAGCCACATTCTCAGGCTCGCGAGCGGAGGTGGCGGGGTCGGCTCCGGAAAGCTTGCGCGTCTTTGAAGCAGGGCCGGGGTTAGGAGAGCTCTCGCGACCGTGCTTCAAAACCTCAACCTTGGGCGTGTGCGTGCGCGACTCGGGCTTGGGCGTACGATTGCGCGGCGACGACGCCGAAAGCTGTTCAAAGGGGTTGACGTAGGTGAACATGGACTTGGGGGCAGACGAGTGGTTTGCAGGCGGTTGAGAGCCACTGCCAAATGCGTGCATCGGAGGCACAGCTTGCGTTTCGGCAGAATAGCTGGAAGCCTCGAGCGTGGCGTCGGCAAGATCACGAGCGAGATCATCGACCCTGGTCTCCGAAACATCTCTCTCAATGTTCTGGGGAGGCAGGGCGGGCGAGTCGTTCTGAGGAGGCTTCGGGTGGTTGAGGAGCCTCAGCAGCAAGTCCTGAGGGTTCTCGGATGAAGCAGCGTCAGAACGGAACTCGGGCCTGGTGGGCGCGGGCTGGGCAATGGCAGCAGGCGACTGAGGCTTCCGCATGAAGGAGGCAACGAGGTCAGAAGCCGAAACGCCACGGCTGTGGGCGGGCTGGGGAGGCGGGTGCTCCGGGTGCTGGAATGTGTTGTTCGACGGGCGACGCTCGGCCCCCGTGTCGTAGTTTTGAGGCGACGGGGCGCTGGGCTGGTTGAATTTCAGCAGATTCAGCAGGCTCGCGGTGCGATCGGTGCTGGAGGGGTCCGGGGCAGGGGTGCCCATGGCCGAGGTGTTCGGGCTCACGATGGCGGACTGGTGGTGAGGCGGCGGACCGCCTGGCTGGGGCGAGAAGATGGGCGACGAGACGGTCGGCTGGTGGTAAGTGTTTGCGTTGGCGCTGGACTGCGAGGCGCCGGGCGAGCTGGCAGGGTTCGATGGGCTTTTCAGCCGAGCGAAGAGCTCCTGCAGGTCCGCCATGGCTCAAGACCCGCGGCTGTCGGCAGCGAGGAGAATTGACAAAGTGATGTGTGGTGTGCGAGTCGGAGTCGGTGGCGGGCGAGCGAGCTGCGAGCTATGATGATAGAAAACGCGCCAAGCTATCCACGACGGCTGGCCGAGGTTGAGCCGCCCGCCAGTGGCAGAGGAGATTTACCCGACGCCACGCAGCCGCGCCCAACCCTAGCCTCAGGCTGCCACGCCGACTGCTTCTCACTTGCTTCTCACTCCGACACGCGCCCTGCTGCTTGGTGCTGGCCTTGCGAGCCGGCCGGGCTGACGCACCGGTGAGCCTCGCGCTGCTCGTTCCATCACGTTCGCTGCTCTGCTCGCTCCGCCGCAGCCCGCACGCCCAGATGGGCAGCAATCGGCACGCCCGCATGCAATCACGCATCATACCCTCTGAGTGTCCAATCTCGCCTCCCGCTCCCCAACTTGGACGCACAGCATATAGGATCTTCCAATTAAACCGTCGGTGCCCGCCGCGCGCTTACCGCCTCGCCCGTTGCTACGCTAGTCTAGCCTACCAGTACCTGCCTGTGGCTATGCAAACTGCACCACCTGCGAGTTGATGCTTCCCAGCAGCTTCGTCCTTCCCCTGTCAGCGCCGATGACCTCCTCGACAAACCTCAGACATGAGACCCTGGTCCGCGCTTTGGGGTCATATCCCGAACCGTACAGCCCAGGCGCTCGCAGCCGCCTGATCTTGGATCCGTCTTTCAGCGAATACAGCTGCACGTACCCGTTCTCCTGTGAAGCAGCAACAAGCCCAGACAGTTGATGAACATCGAATCCCGATGCCTCTGTATACGCGTTCTCGTAGTCTTTGAACCGGAAAACAGGCCTTTGATACGTCAGTCCCAACGTCACTTGATGGAAATTCAAACTCATGTACCTGGTGCTTTTGTGATCCTTTATCATGCGCAGATCATACAAACACAGCGTGCTTTTGAGACCAGCAATGGCAAGCTGCGACTCGTGTTCTCCACGCTTGATGCCGATTACTGAAGATAGATGCTTTAGCCTTGTCCTGTAGCCTTTGCTTCTTGTGTCGTAGAGAACAACATCTCCTGACCGGAAGCCAGCTGAGAGTGAGTGGGGTGTCAGCCACTCCAGAGATAGAGCCGCGTCGGGTCGATTTTGAGGCCCTTTCTCGAAGGCTGTTTTGCCGCCCCAACTTGAGGGTCCTTCTTCTAATCGAATGACTTCACATCTGTCAGCTTTGGTGCTTCGATCTAGGTCTGGTTTCTGTCCAGGCATCCAAGCACCTCATCAGAGGCTGTGGACTACGCAGTGTTTGTGCACGCTGGCACCAGCGTCGAAGGATGATGACTTACCAGAACCTAAAGTGCCTACCGCTATGACTTCGGGTCCGGACGAGAAGGGATTCGGAGCGCTCGTGAAGATGGTTGTGTGAGAATTCGGTCTTAAGTTGACGGTAGAGTCCATGTATATGCGATCCAAGACGGATTCCTGATTTCGGATCGACGATATCTGAATCTCGGCGGCAGAGCTCGAGCCTCGTGTAGTGACGACAACTCGGCGGTGCGGCGTGATGTGTACGGAACTGATTGTGGAGCTCAGGACTTGGAAGTCTCGTTGATGCCATTTCGGGACGATCCGCCTGGAACTTAAGTTTGGATCGACGAAGGTGCTGAGCAGCATATGGTGCTGGTCCTCGACTCCGGTGATGAGTGTCCTTGTCTCGGCATCATAGTCGAAACACCGCACGGCAATGTTACGAGAGGTTTCAGCAGCCCACTGAACCCTTGGATTCACAAAGGTGCTTGCTTCGAAACCGCTTGCCAAAGCCTTTGCATGGGCACTCGGATCGGCTTTCAGGCCGTAAGTTTCGAGCTTCAGGTTCCATGCGCCTGCATGTGGCAAGAGAATGGAGCGTTTGACCGTCTGCGTCCGCACTCGAGCCTCATGCTCCTCTTCACGCTTCCGTTTCTGCGTTGTGTCAGCATACCGGCTCGGGGGCGTATGAAATAAACGTCGCGTACATTTGTTTCGGCTTGCTCGCGTTTCACCGCATCTGTAGAATATTTGGCACCAGTGGGAAGCTTGTAGCCGGGCTGGATCTTGAAGTATCGCTTTCGCTCGCGATCTGAAGTCCTGTTATGATCAATACCAAGAAAAAAGAGGTGACAAAGTGGCCAAGTCTAACCGTAGTAAAAGCCCGGCAGATCTGGAGGATCCATGTCGGATTTACTGGCCTCAAGAGAGGATGAAAGAGCAGACGTGTGTTGGAAAAGGAACACTGCGAGGGTGAGCGGGTCAGGGCACAAATGCAACCACCTCTCACATACCCTACAGCGGAAAGACACGAAGTTGTAGAAGGAAGGTCCGGTCTCGGTGATGGCGCGGATCAAAGCGAATCACGATTCTGCCGCGACGCCTTCACCGCCTTGCTCATGACGACATCAGATAACGCTCGGAAAACATTGCCGCGTCTTTTTACCAGCTTAATGAGAAGCACTTCTTGCCTGTCTTTGGGCGTCTTGGGCGCATAGAGAGCTTAAGACGCGCCGTTCGCTCTAAATTCAGTTACGACAATCCCAGGCCGTCAAACCGACCGCATGTCGAAAAATTACGTTCGCATTAGCTGCGGGCCGATGCACTTCCCCGCGCTGAGAAATCCCCCAGCCAGGATTAGTGGCTGCACCAATTGGTAGCTTCGACCTGTCGGCTCGCCGCCTCGAACGTGCTGATGACGCAGCATCATGGCAAACATCCAAATGGCGGCTTTATATCCTTTCATCCCTACATGCCGGCTGCACCCTATCTGCTTGACACATCCGCCTTGAAATCCTCAACTCCCCCGCATTTTCGCCACCAAGCCCTCCCACGCCGTATATGCTCTCCCGCGCGCTCCGCGCCCGCCCTCAAGCAGCACGCCCGCGACTCGCGCAAATGGCGAACCACCTAAGCAGCGCCGCCAACGGCGCATCGAGCAACTCGCAAACCTTCAAAAGCCTCCGCGACCTTCCCAAGTCGAATGTCTTCACCTCCAATCTCCCCTCCGACCCGGCCTTCGAGACGCCCAAAGACTCGCACAATGCGCCGCGCGAGACCCTCGGGCCGCGCATGGTGAAAGGCGCGCTATACACATACGTACGGCCGGAGCCGGCGCTGGCGCCAGAGCTGCTCGCCGTCAGCGACGCGGCGATGCGGGACCTAGCGCTCGCGGCAGAGGCGGAGAAGGAGCAAGAGTTCGTGCACGCACTCGCAGGCAACGAGATCATATCGTGGGACGAGAACACATTCGAAGGCATCTACCCGTGGGCGCAGTGCTATGGCGGTTTCCAGTTCGGGCAGTGGGCCGGCCAACTCGGCGACGGACGCGCCATCTCGCTGTTCGAGACGACGAATCCTAGCACCGGCGTGCGGTACGAGCTGCAGCTCAAGGGCGCCGGCAAGACGCCCTACTCGCGCTTCGCCGATGGCAAGGCGGTGCTCCGATCAAGCATTCGCGAGTTCGTCGTCTCCGAGTACCTCAACGCCCTGAAGATCCCGACCACCCGCGCCCTGTCTCTCGTCCTGTGCCCTCGCGCCAAGGTTCTGCGCGAACGCATGGAGCCCGGCGCCATCGTCGCCCGATTCGCCCAGAGCTGGATCCGGCTGGGTACATTCGACCTACTCCGTGCGCGTAACGACCGGAAGCTTTTGCGTCAGCTCGCCGAGTACACCGCCGAGCACGTATATGGCGGTTGGGAGAAGCTCCCTGCAAAGCTGCAGAAGCCCGAAGAAGACCGGACCACCGTAACTCGCGGCGTAGCCAAAGACGTCATCGAGGGCGAAGGCAAGGACGCCGAGAACCGTTTCGTGCGCCTGTACCGCGAGATAGCGCGGCGCAACGCGACGACGGTGGCAGCATGGCAGGCGTACGGCTTCATGAACGGCGTGCTGAACACGGACAACACATCCATCCTCGGGCTGAGCATGGACTACGGGCCCTTTGCCTTCATGGACAACTTTGACCCGAGCTACACGCCCAACCACGACGACCACATGCTGCGCTACAGCTACCGCAACCAGCCCACCATTGTCTGGTGGAACCTCGTGCGGCTGGGCGAGGCGCTGGGCGAGCTCCTCGGCGCCGGCGCCCGCTGCGACGAGGAAGAATTCGTCACCCAGGGCGTGCGCGAGAACTGGGCCCAGGAGCTGATCGAGCGCGCCGAGCACGTCATCGACCAGACCGGCGAGGAGTACAAGGCCGTCTTCATCCAAGAGTACAAGCGCCTGATGACGGCGCGCCTTGGCCTGCGCACCCAAAAGCCGAGCGACTTTGACGACCTCTTCTCCGAGTGGCTCGACCTCATGGAAGCCCACGAGCTTGACTTCAACCAGTCTTTCCGCCGCCTCAGCGACGTAAGGACTGCGGATCTAGACACGGGCGAGCAGCGCGAGCAGCTCGCCGCCCGCTTCTTCCACGACGACGGCGTCGCCGGGGGCGAGGATGCCGCCCGCCAGCGCATCGCCAAGTGGCTGGAGAGCTGGCAGCAGCGCGTCCTCGAAGACTGGGGCGAGGGCAAGGATGAGGAGCGCAGCACCTCCATGAAGAGCGTGAACCCGAAGGTATGTGCACCATTCAACCACTCCGAGCGCAGCCCATGAGTCTGACGTCATTACAGTTCGTTCCCAAGGGCTGGGTCCTTGACGAGCTCATCGATCGTGTCGAGCACAAAAAGGAGCGCGACATCTTGAAGACTGTCATGAATATGTCTCTGAACCCGTTCGAGGAGAAGTGGGGACTGGACGAAAAGGACGAGGAGCGGTTCTGCGCGGATCCGCCCAAGTACAACAGGGCGATGCAGTGTAGCTGCAGCTCATAGATACCTCGGATGGCTCCTGTGTGTAATTGTGTAAGAGGTAGATGACACGAGCTTGGTATAGGGAAAATTTCGGAGGCGAACAGGTTAGCTCGCTGATATACCCGGCAATAAGTAATAACAAACACCTCAACTCTCTTCTTACTCCTCTCCATCAACCCTCTTCTCCTCGTCCCCCCTGGGCACCCTCTCCACCGTCGCCTCCACCCTCTCCGTCATCAGCTCCCCCACCCCGCTCAGACAAGCCACGCACACCAACGCCACCACCGTAAACGGCACCACGCTCGCCCACGCCAACCGATACCCCCTCGCCCACACCCACCTCCCCTCCCCCACCACCGCCTCCAACTGCGCCGCCCCCACCCCCTCGCCCACCACCGCCCCCAACGCCTCCACACTCGTCGCCCCCTCCCCCCCCGCCATCGCCCCCACAATCTCCCCCACCACCCCCTCATCCCTTACCCCAGCCCTCCTCGCCGCCCCCGCAACCGCGCCCCCATACCTCCCCCCAACATACCCCTTCACAACCGCCTCCAGCACCGCCGACCCCACCGCGCCCCCCACCGCCCGCGCCGAAAACGCCAACCCCGTCGCCGTCGACAAATACCGATGCGGCGCCGCGAACTGCACCGCCGCCACCAGCAGCGTCAGCGGTCCCGCCTGCCCCACCGCACACAACACGTTCAGTCCCTGCTGCACCCCATCGCCCCATCCGGGCGTCACGCCCGCGTACGCCCCCGCGACGCCGAGGAAGATTGCGAAACAGCCGACCAGCGGCGTGCGCAGGTCCCGCCGCGCGGTGGCGTACCAGGTGATGGGCACGCTGGCGGCGAAGACGGGCACGAGGTAGAAGAGCTGGTGCCGCACGGCGATGCGCATGGGGGTGGTGGCGTAGCCGAGGCGGAGGATGAGTTGGGGGGTTAGCGACGTGACGGCAGAGTAGAAGATGTAGCCTTCGATGGTGAAGGCGAGGAGGGCGAGCGGGAAGTTGCGGCCGGAGCGGAAGAAGGCGTGGGCGAGGAGGCCGTCCGGGCGGGCGAACAGTTCTGTGTGGTTGTGTGTTAGAGGGAGGGAGAGGTGGGGAGGGAGGAGGCGTACCGTAGAGGCAGAAGGCGATGAGGAGGACGCAGCCGGTGACGAGCGGCCCGATGACGTGGGCGGATGACCACGGGTAGGTGCCTGCGGCCCAGTCGAGGGCGAGGAGGATGGTGGTGGAGCTGCCGATGAAGAGGACGGAGCCGATGGGGTCGCAGGCCCAGATGTATTCGGTCAGCTTCATGCGGGGGAAGTCGGTGTGCCGGGGCGGCCAGTAGAAGAGGAGGAAGCCGAGGGCGGAGGTCAGGTGGAAGGCGGCTTGGGTCCAGAATATGTAGCGCCAGCCGCTGGGGCTCATGTTGGTGTAGGCTCCTGCGCTGAGTTGGCCGATGCTGGTGGATTTCAGGGAAAGTTAGAGTGTGGTTCTACATATATTGTTATGGTAGAGCCCGCGGGGCGTGTGAGAACGAGCAAGGACGATCGACTCACATTCCCGCAGATGCGCCTCCTAAGAAAGAGATTCCGTTTGATACGGTGCGGTATTTTAACGGGAGAATCTCAGAAGGAATAGACTGGACGATGGCTATGGTCGACAGTGTGACTCCAACCAGAATGCTGCCACCAATCAACATGTTCATGGATGTGGCCTTGGCGCAGATGACGGCACCGACAAAGGCTATGAGTGGGGGGATGGAAGCGAGGTATTTGCGATCCAAGATGTCTGATAGGCGGCCGACGATGGGAGACAGGGCCGCTTGCATGAGGAGGGGACCCTGGCAGTAGACAGTCAGTATCTAGTTCACATATCTTTCGAGTATCCAGTTGGTAAGCTCGAGATTCACATCGAGCCAACCGATACAGGTATGTCACATGCGGAGAAGATGGGTCAGATAGTTACCTGAATTATCCAGCCAGACAGAGCAGAACCCTCAAAATCCATGGCTATAAAGGAGACGACAGATGCGGCAGCCACAGTAGTGTACACTTGGGCCATGATTCTAATGATTGTCAATAAATGGTCACGGTCTCTTGCAGGCCGTGCTTACGTGAATGACGAGAGCAACACGACCAGCCAGGTCCGCCATCCCAATTGCAGAGGGGATGCCGGTTCAGCAGCCTCCTCTTGGATAGTCTTTGTGTGTAGTTCATGACGGTCAGGTGAGTTTTCTGTTTGGTTGTTCAGGGACTCGATGTGCACAGCATCCGTTTTCTCTGCTGTTTCCATGAGGGGTAGATGTAAACTGTCTGGTCGAGCGAAGAAGACCAAGGCAGAATCGAAACGGGTTTCCGAAAGCAATGCTTGGAGAGTCGGCCGACTTTGTGCGAATTAAATGGAGCGCCAAGAGACCAGAGGTCGGGAAGTTGAATAATTTATAAGTGATGACAGAGGCCGATTTACCCCACAGTGCCAGCTCTGACAGGGGTCGTCGGCTGCGTAGTGGGTTCCCCAGGTGTTTTACCCCGCCAAAGAGCTAGATCAGCCGGGGAAGTGACTGACTCGTTGCAAATCAATGCCCATTAGAGGCAAGGTGCGGCTACAACAAGGGAGGGGATATGCGCTGCAATGCTTTCGGCAATTGAACAGTGAAGCATGCCGGTCGGATGTGGTGTAAGCACTGCCGGAAAGGAATTTTGAGTGCTGGCTACGGGCAGTTGCAGAGACAGGGATTCGATGCATCAACCATTGCTTACTACAGTGAAAGATGGGGCCATTGCAACGACAAGCGCGATGACGATGAAGATTGAGCGGATGGAGGTCGTCGGGCGGTCGAGTCGCGTGTCGGCCAAGGCAGATGATCCCGGCGAAAAAAACGCGGAGACGGACCGGCCGAAATTTTGCTGTAGGGCTGAACTCACCACCAACCTCTCTCCTCCAACAACATGTCATGACCACGAAGCAAAGCGCCGCCGGCCACCCCCACGACCATGTCGTCGAGGGCCTCGGCATCACCCCTCTCAAAGGCCACCTGGTGCCGCTGAAGACCAAAGGCGAAATCCGCGCGAGCAATGAACTGAGTCCGTCATCCCGCACCATCGCGCCTGCCTGCGATCCCCGCTAACCCGCAACCACAGTCAACGTCTACGTCGTCGAGCTCCCCGCCCGCTCCGCCAACGCCGTCCTCAGCATCCTCCGCAGCGCCCTGCCCGCCGACACCACCGCCACCACCGACATCCAACACCTCCGCCGCGTCATCAAGCCGGCCTTCCTCCCCGCGCCAGCCCGCGCCCTCCTCTCACCCAACGGCGCCCCACCCGCCGACCCCCCCTCCTCTTCCAACGGCGACGAAACGCGCCTCCTCCTCATCAGCCCAACAACGCAAATCGCCCTCCCCGCCCTCTCCGCCCTCCTATCCGCGCACCCGCCCTTCTCCTCTTCCAACACCAGTACCGACCTCCCTTCCCCCTTCCCCCTCACCATCCACACCCTCCCCGTCCCCGCCCTCGCCCCCACCTCCGCCCCGCAGGCCCACTCCTGGTCCACCACCTACTGGCCCGTCGCCTACAAGCACACCAACCCGTTCGGGCCGCACCCGGCATTCGTGGCGCGCGCGGCGGGCGAGGTCGCGCCGCGCGCGGGGCTGTGGCTGGCTTTGGCGGCGAGGGGCGCGCGGGAGGCGGTCGGCGCGGGGATGACGACGGCGGAGGCGGGGGTTGGGGCGGTGGTGGTGGAGAGGAGGTTGGATGGGAATGGGAGGCAGGTTGAGGGGGAGAGGGTGGTTGTGGTGGCGGGGGATGGGAGGGGGTGTGGGGGTGAGGGTGGGGGTGGGAATGTCATGGCGCATGCGGTTATGCGGGCGATTGGGATGGTGGCGATGAAGAGGGTGAGGTTGGAGGAGGCGGAGGCGGAGGCGGAGGCCGCGGGCAAGGATGACGACGAGGGAAGCGGTGGAGGGGCGGGTGGGCGACGGGGCGACGACGCTGAGGAGGAGGAGGAGGAGGAGGAGGAGGAGAAGAAGAAGAAGGAGAAGCCTTCGCGCGCCTGCTGCGATCCCGTCGAGTCGGTCTTTGCGGTGCGGCCGCGCACCGCCGTCGAGCGCGCGCTGTTCGACCGCGACGACAATCTCGCGCCGAGCGGATACCTCTGCGTTGACTTGGAGATTTACCTCACGCATGAGCCGTGCGTCATGTGCTCCATGGCCATTTTGCACTCGCGCTTCAACAGGGTCGTCTTCGCCCGCCGCATGCCGCGCTCTGGTGGCCTGACGGCGGACGAGCGGGGCCTGGGTCACGGCTTGTTCTGGCGACCGACCGAGTTGAATTGGAAGTTTCTGTGCTGGGAGTTTGTGGAGGATGATGGTGTTGGAGATTCCGAAGGTGACAGAGAGGGAGATGAGATCGTTGTTAGTGATGATATCAATGCTTAAGGAGATTTCGCGGTTAAGGAATTATATTGGTGGCCATAAATTTGACCCCCCTCCAGGAAAGCCACTTTTCCTCCGTCGTTCACCTTAAATTTATATGGAAAATGGTAAGTAAACTCGGGGAACTCGCTGGCATCCTACACCTACATTACCTGGCTACGCAGACGATGCCGCCTTTCTCAGAACCGGGTGCACACTAGAGAGAGGGCAACAGCAAAATTAGCAACGAGTCTCAAAGCAGCCCTCGAATGGGGCATCGAGAACGGCATCTCCTTCGACCCCGAAAAGTGCGCATAAGATTGAAAGAGAACACTATAATCGAGCACCTCCAAAACGTAAGTGTTGATGCGTGAGACAAACTCACTTCTCAACATGCTACTGCATTCCCGAAGCATCCTCAGTATCCAACAGGTCCATACCATGCCCAATTGGATCAAGCCCTTCTACTAGCAGATCAATCTCATCCTCGTCGCTCTTCTCGTCCTCAAGAAGTTCGTGCACCTTGTCGCTCTGTATCTCACTCGTGACAAGTATCTTGATAGCGGGGGCCACAGAGTCATCTTTCCGAAGACCCACCAAGAACTTCACAACCTGAAGGAGATCATGCTCGTGCTCATCGTTCTCATAACATCCCACCCCATCAAGAACACACACGAGGATCATCCGTGCCGGAAGGCGTCTGACCAGGCAACCAAACAGCCCACACAGAGCTTCAATGTCCCCCTCTTTGATAGCCTCCACATCCACGTCACCCGTTGGGAAGCTGAACGCAGGGAAGTACTGTTGCAGAAGTTGTGCAATCAGGCTCCGAATCATGGCTCCTCCTCCTGGGTGTTCGTCAGGCTCCGTGTGATGGCCGCAGAAGAATGCCAAAGAGACGAATTGTTCGCGTGCACGCAACCCTTTCGTGAGCGTTGTGCAGACCAGCGACAATGCACTGGGTGACTGCGACATGTCATGCATGGGATCGCCCTGTACAAACAGCAGGCGTGACTTCGCTGATGTGGCCCAGTCACGGAACTCAGTCGTGCCAATGATTTGCTTGGCGCGACTGCGATACGCGAGAGGGATGGCATCGCTTGACTCTAGGATGGAATCGATGTCGGGGGAGTCGAGGTCGGGGATATCGAGCAGCCGGCGCAGGACGAGCGTGTCGATTGTGGGTGTGTGGTCTGTTTGCTGAGGTTGAGTAATGGGAAAAGGATACCGTGGAGGTGGTACGAATAGTGTAGGAGGGTAGTAGTAACCCCAGGCCCACGGAGCCGGCAGGGCAGTAGGAGGCCATTGCTGCGGAGGGTGATGATTCGGCCCGAGGGATTCATCTTGTGACGAATGATTTGATGGCTTTGTGCGCGCATCTGTATTGTGTTGTTCGAGTTGCAAAGCTTCGATCTTGGATTCCAAAGCCTCTGTCGGTTTCGTTAAGCTGTCGTTTCTGGACAAACCAAGTCTGGGTATGTTCAACTCACCAATCTTTTTGGTATATGTTTCCCTTGATTTTGCACCATCCATGAGAAGCGCGTTCACCTTACCCATAAGATCAGCTTCAAAACTCCCCAGCGCGGATCGCATCTGGGTCATCCCCAGTCCAACGGCGTCGACTTGATCCGACATATACTCCAGTTTTTCTCCCTGCTGAAATTCGAGGTATACAACTTGTCTCATACCTGCTACGTGTTAGGCTGAGATGGTTCTGTTTCTGACATTTGTTGGGAGCGGGTACTTTGGATAATTCTTTCCATTGCATCACGACTTCCGACCAGCTCAGATCTTTCGGCTTCCCGAATCAAATCGTTGCTCTTTTTCTGTATCTCACCGATACCCTCGAGGAGAGGTTTCTGGTAGTTCTTCGCCTGAACTAGCGAATCGAAGATCCTCTTGACTGGCGTTTTGTACTGTCAACTCGAGCCAGATTGGAGCATATCACCCAAAGAACTCTCACCTTTATGAGACAGGAAGAAGTCCATTGCGTCTTCCACTGCGCTCAGCGTGACGGTAATCAGCTTGATAGATGCCTCCACGATGTTTTGGTCCCCCTGGAAGGTTGTAAGGAAGATCTCAATGTCTTCGAACGTTTTTTCCAGACTTCCGTCGTCGAAAGTGGACGTAATTTTACCTCGTGCATCTGCTGCTACTTCAACGGCCTTTCAAAATTAGAAAACTGCCATATGGTTCCATTCATCTAAATGAAAGGAGGATGTGGAACTGACTTACATCGAGAAGTACCTCTACCGCAGCTTTCACAGGAGATACAACAACGTGGTCCGGGACCAACTTCCACGCCTGACGTGCTACACCAGTATGCTTAGAAGCTCCCCGATAGGCTCTACAGGTCCCTTTTTGACACTTGCCCCAGAACCCTCCCTTAGTGGCGTCATAATGCTCCCGTGCGATTTGAAGCAGTAGATAGACTTCGTTCCAACTCCCTTTTCCTCGAAGACTTAACTTTCTTTTCTGCACCTCTTTTGGTTCCACTTTCTTCTCGTGTGCTAACCTCGTCATAGATTCCGGCAGAATCTTGTCCCAAAACCCCATTGCGGCTACGGCAGGCGTAGGCCGCCGAACTGATGGGGACTGCAGACCCTTCCCACCACTGCTTCCTGGCAGCGGGTGGCTGCCAGTCATCTTGACTGCCTCAGGGATGGGTATGAAGCGCTGCGATACAGGATCGTATCGACAGTTCTGGTTCTCGAACGCTTTGTGATAGAACGGCAGATGGTTCTGGATGAAATCTACGGAAGGAGGCTGGGAGGTGACGCGTGGGATAGGAGTGCGTTTGGCTGCCATCTGAGAGGATGGAGTCTGTCCAAAAATTATCAAGAAAGATGCGAGAATATACTGGCTCTTCTCGCGTCGATGTAGTGGTGACAGTTGAGGTTCAGCTTTCCGATATAGGCATAAATAGGACGATTTGGGTGGGCGAGCGCTTATCAGACAGCACAGCCGAGATAGTTTCCGGTGCTTTGGGCGGCAATCGGGTGAGGACGGATTGTTGAGCTGAAATTGGCTAGAAGGATGATGTCGACAGGGAAGAAGTACTGAATTTCTCAACACGGCATATTGCAAGTCGCACAGAAGTGGGGGCAGTTCAGCTCCTGCGGTGTCAGGCAAGAAAGCCACCAATGCTTTAACATGTTATGCTCGGCATTCCCTTTCTGCGCTCATCTAAGAAACGCCACAATATTGGAATACGTATTATGGACCCGAAATCTGCAAGCCTGCTATCAATGTAAATACTTTTTCGAAAACACTTCATCCCGTTATGGAGCTTCAGCTTATGCATGTCGCTGATAAAGTGCTTACATTATGCGGGAGTACGATGTGTCCCCACTAACGAGCCTTTCAGCTCATGCATCTCGTCAAATTCGGATAAACTAGAAGTTCGCATTGTATCACAGCTAATCTAGAGTACGTAGCACGAACAAGGAAGCTGCAAGCCTGCTACCAATGTAAACACTTTTTCGAAAACACTTCACCCCATTCCGGAGCTTCAGCTTATGCATATGCTTACATTTTGGGGCAGTGCGATGTGTCCCCACTAACGAGCCCTTCAGCTCATGCAAGTAGCCACTTTGAATCGTGCTCGACGCGGTTGATCTAGGGATTCTCTCTCTTTTTTTTTTTGGG